TAATTCAAATAATAATCTCATAATAATTTTATTTTAAAAAATATAAGGATAGAATTCGACATTCAAATAAATTAATTAATTTTGTATAAAATTTTATAAGTGATGTATAGTTGTAAACATATTTTTTTTAATTATAATGATAGTTTAAATGAATTTAAGACAAGAATATATTATACAATTAAGAAGTCATTGCATGCTTATTTTTGTAGTTATGACTTTTTAAATTATAGTTGTTAATTTAAACTGTATTTAAAAATTAAAACGTTGGTATTATATATTTACATAACAGCAGCCAATGCAAAAGTATATAGTAAGAATGACAATTTTACTAACTTATCCTGCCTATATTTATTTATGAAATTAAAATATAAAAAATAAAATAGAGAAGTTTGATTAAGAAAAAAAAAATATTATTTTATAGGATTGTTATATAAAATTTTCTAGTAAATAATTGGATTAAGTACAATAATATTTCCATAATAACAACTAATAATAACAATATAATAATATATAATAATAAGAATTCTATAATAATTTTCTTCTAAAAATATAAGAATCAAATTAGTTGTTTAAACAAATCTATTAATTTACTTTAATATATATTTAAATGCTTATATTACCATATCTTATTACAATATCTTATAAACTTATTTATATACAATGGTGATTCTAATTTTTTCTTTCTAAAGTTAATTTTTAGAATATAGATTTTATAAATGTTTCCGAATAATACAATTATATATAAATTAATTGTATTTTTTGTCACAGGCACGCATTAGAAATCCGATAATATAATTGAAGAAATTAATATATATATATATATGTTTTACATTGTTTATTATGATTTAATATACAACATTAAGTTTAATACAAAATATAAGATATCATTGCAATCTATAATAATAATAAACAAGGCTTACAATAAAATAATTTGAAAAATAATCATAATTTTTTATTTGTATTTTAAATTGTACAATATAAATAGTACATTAAAAATTTTCAACTATACATTTTGAATGTGTATTTAATAATACTTGATTATTGAAAAATTCATAATTTAAATATGCAAGCAGATTTTTAAAAATCTGGACACTTAAAAGTATAATCTAAACATTTTAAGGTGTCTCGCAAAAGAACATAATGAGCAAAGTATCGTTTACGTTTAAGAAATCTTGTGAAAGTATAATGCAACTCGCTAATTTTGTACTTAAAATTATGGTAATCATTTCACGGAGTGGATTTGTATTTGACAGTAAAGATTTTTAATTGAGAAAAGTAGAGCAAACTTATACGGATGGAAGGCAGTCGTCGGAAGGAATTTATTCGCATAGAACTTCCAGTGATCATAACATTAAACTATTTCGCAAAATTTCTAATTTACCAGATATTGCAGGATTTATGGATCAATTATATTGCTTTAGATTAAGAAAGGTCCAGGTATCCCGATGAACTATATAAAAACCGTAAACCATTTTTACTTATCTATGTGTGGTAATATGTACTTGAATGTACGTGAAATATTATTATTGCTCTTAATTGTCGTTAAAGACTTATATGAATGATTAAAATGGTATATAATGCGAACAAATATTATCAAATTTCTACAGGGTATAATTAAAGCTTATTTATTTGCTTTTAATCGAAATGAAGAAATACTTATATTTTAGACATAGGAACTTGACAGCATATCAGTCAATAAGAATGTAATTTCCAATTGAATTTGTAAAAAAACTTTTTTCACAAATTTTTTTTCATATCATATGCCCGTCAAATTTAAAATGACATCTGTCTAAGTTGACAAGTGTAAGATGTTCAATTTCATAACTTCCGGTAATTAATCACGTATAGAAAAAAAAAGAGGAATCATTATTCTTCTTTATATCTTTGACAGCCTAAATTATTTATTAACCAGCATCAGTAACTTGCTAATAAAAGAATAATTTTTCTTATCTTCATTTCTCTCTCTCTCTCTCTCCCTCTATCACTAATTCTCTCATTCTTACCATCATCATCTTTCTACTTTATTAAAACCATTACTTGCAATAACGACTACTTGAAATATTATTTTGAATATTGTGGAATTAGTTACTAACATCCCAGTATACAAATAATATAAATATTATTCGGTACTCTCCATAATTTAATTAAAATATTATTCTGTAATTATACGGTAAAAAATTAGAAAAACAATTTTCAAATAGTAAGAAGTTCAATGATAAATTCTAGGCTGTAAAATTTTATGTAAATATATATAATAATGATTATTTACTTAAAGTTAAAATTATTTCTCTGTTCAATAAACAATAAATAAAAAAATATTTAAGATTAATCTTACGTGAATGAATTTGTTTTGATACTTGTAAGAATCATTATGTAAATATATACACAACCGTTTATTTATTATTATGTAGGCATACATTCAATTATATATATATATATATATATATATATCAATTCGCTTACACTGCATCTTATTTCAGAAAATTATAAAATTTGAGAAAATTGTATATCAAAATTAGGATATTAACAAATTTTTACTTTTCTTCAAAAATTCCGAAAGTTCTGATATTATTCCTTTCAGTTGAGAAGTTATAATTTCAAATCCACATAAGATACATACTTTTACATTTAAAAAACTTTTAAATCTTCGCTTCAAAAAGATTCAACTGCAATCAATAGTATATTTATTATTTTAAAACTTTAATATCACATAAATATTATCCATATTGGCATATGAAAAAGAATATGAATACTTAAAAGATATTTAGAGTTGAATAATAATAATGCTTCAATAATTGTTAATAATGAGTAACTAATAATAATAATAATAATAATAATAATAATAATAATAATAATAATAATAATAATAATAAAGAATAACAATCCATACAGTAATATAAATTATAAGGCTTATTATGGTTATATAAAATATATTGAGAATTACATTTCAGTCGGATTAGTAAAAGTATTTAAATTCCTTAAGATTCAGTTCTAATATAAATTTTATAAATTGTTTATAAAAAATATTTAAAACAGTTTTACTCATCCAATTCATCCACTGTCCATAAATTAAGAATTATTATAAAATTGCGCTTCCTTCAAGCACAAATGATGTTTAATTTTTACTAACGTTGCTAATTGAAATATGACAAATTAAATATTAAAGGAAATGAAAACATGTCACGATAAAAGTTTTAATATCGAAATACAAATTCGTAAAAATAATCGATAAATGTAACGTGTACACAAAATATCGCAAAGTACATGTTTCGATTAGAAAGTTGTTCTGTACGATGTACCATTACAAAAAATGAGATTATTAACAGTCGCAACGTATATGAAAGAGCATCAAGATACTATTTTTATATTAATTTATATTTTATAAATTGCATATTTTCCTTGTCATATTTATGGACAATGAATTAAATGTATCCTATGGTGATAAAATTATAAGATTAATGATTTTTAATAAACAAGTCTTCTTGTGAATTGTTCTATTATCTTAAAAAACTCATCTTTTTTTCATAATGAAATTCTAATTAGGTTAGTTTTTTTTTTTTTTTTTTTTTTTTTTTAATGGACAGATCATCACATTCAATAACAATTATTATTTTCGAGATATTTTTTTTTAATAATATTATAATATCTAACCAATTCAAATAGTCATTTTGCTTTTGACTAATTATCTTATAAACTATAAATTTTATTTATTTTTACGGATTAATTAAAAAAAATATGAAGAGAACTTTTGTCAATAATAGTAAATTGAACGAATAATCAATTTTTTAAATTAATCCAAATTTTTATTTTTGAATATGATTTAATATAAATCTCGTATTATAATTATAATTCATTTACAACAAAATATATACATAATTATATAATATGCAAATGTTACAAAAGCTTTATAATAATTTATATATGAATAATCAATGTTTTATGGAAATTAATAAGAAATTTAATTTTTCATAATTTATAATTTTATTGGTTCTTTTAAATTAGAATGGTAATTTAATTAATATTTAGTTAATTCTAAATATTAATATTGTTCTTCACGTAAAGAAATTAATAATATGTTATATTGTAATAAAATTAAATTCTTTTAATAGGTTTTTAACTTTTATATACCTATCGACTACTTCTATAATGAATGACTTTAGAAATGTGAATTTTTGTTATAAAAATATGATTTTGAATTGTTAATCAATCTTCTGAAAATTGAAAATTATGGTATTTTATAATTATTTCCAACCTCTTAACACCCATAAATATTTCGAATAGAATGTTACATTTTTTTTTTTTTTTTTACTAATATGACATACAATTTATAAGTTGACTTTCTAATAGGGCAATTATAAAAATTAATAAATACCCAAGATATTTAACTTATTTGAAACAGTAAAGTGATATAATTAGTACTTAGTACTATAATTATATAACTAGTACAGATTATTTATATCATCAGGCAATTTTTCTAATTAACCGACATAGAAGAATCATTAATAAAATTATATTCTGCTTAAATATTTTAAGGTCTATTTTTTCACATTATTGAAAATATTAATTTGTTAATCTACTACATATATATATATATATATATATATATATATAACTATATATCACTATATATTTAGTAGATTAACAAATTAATATTTTCAATAATGTGAAAAAATAGACCTTAAAATATTTAACCAGAATATAATTTTATTTATATATATATATATATATATATATATATATGTATATATATATATATATGTATATTTTTTTATATTTCCAAACATTGAATTGATTGAAGCAAACGAATATTTGTATATATTTAATTTAATATTATTCATTTTATACAAATACGAATTCAATTAATACAAAATAATAATGTAAAAACTATAAACGTCAAAATTATTTCTACTAATTTTTACTAAACGTAAGATTATAAGATTATTATTATAATTGTTTAAAAGTTTTTTTTTTTTTTTTTTAATTTGGTCTTTCTAACTAAAATGCAGTTAGCTTAATAAATATATTCACGTTATATTTAAATGTTAAGAAAATTAGCTTATATTTCCTAATTATGAGCTACCGTAAATATTAACGAATAATTATAAATTAATATAGTATCAAAGAATTTTTAATGTTTTAGATTTGGTATTATTTTTACGAATTTGTATTTTTAATTTTGCAAAAACAAATAGAAAAAAAACATCATCAATTAAATCTGAAATAACAAGCAATTACATTTGTGATGTTTAATGAAATACTATTATTTATTTACATAATTAATTTTCTTTAGTCTTGCTAACATAAATAAATTATTATCACCTTAATATTTAAATATAGCAAAAATTGTATATATCTTGTTTATATCTTAGTACATAGATCGTTGTTAATACTTTTTTAAACAAACTAAAAAGATTTTTAGACATATGTTTTTAATGCTTAGTTCTTCCAGCGACAACTTTATTCGCTATCTCTCTTGGTCTGTCATTTGAATATGATGAAGTGAAACCGAGTTATGTTTCGAGACGAGATATTGATGGTACACGTGGCAGGTTTGTATAAGTATAATAAATAAATGCATTAATTAAATATATTCGATTCTCCGAATTGTATTACAAAAGCTTTTTTCATTTTTTCAACCTAAAAATAATTATAAATATATTCAGAAAATACTTCAATCCAGAAGAAGATGGCTTTCTTGATGATTACAGCTACGATAAAGGACAGTATCTTGGAACTAGGGAAATACATGGTAATAAAGTAATTAATCATGAAATGTAAAATTAAAAGATTTTTAAAGATCGTTAGAAAAGAGTGATATTCTAAAAATAGAAAATATTATATAATTTTTATTCACTTTAGTACAAGTTTTTTCTACAACAATACAAAAACAATCGATCTTAAAACATTATATTTAAATTTGTAAGATGCAATAAATAAATAAACATATTTATATATATACATATATATAATGATTATTTTTACGTAATATGTAAATTCCATTTTTATCAATTATAAATATAATAAAATTCACTGCATTAATTACAAAATATTTAATTAAAAAATTTATACATTATTGAAAAAGATTTCAGTAAACAAACTTTTATTGTAACATAATATTGTATATCTTTTGATATACACAAAAACATGTTAATATTTTACAAATTTTTCAGATATCAGAAGTAATGTACCTGGTGAACCAGGAATCGATTATCCTGCCTACGTTAAAATCCCAAAGACAATGTTTTCGTGCATCAACAGGAAACGAGGTAATAAACAGAGTAATATAGACTATATTATATACTATTTATATACTATTATATATTATATTATATACTAATTATAGACTATAAAGTTCTTTATACCGTAAGCGATGATGAATTAATATATTTGTCCATGTTTAAATATAACACACTGCTCTTTCATTTTAAAAAGTGAAAACTTAGTTATTATCTTCTAGTTAGAAAAGTAATTTTAATAACACTAATTATTAAGTTGAATATTAATTAAAAAGGTAAAATTTTTATATGTACTTTCGTAAATAATGCTTATAAAATAATGAATATTATTTTATTACTTGTAATTTTTTTAATTTTCAAATACTGTTTAGATCTATCCTAATACGTAAGTTAATTAGAAATGCGAAAAAACAAGTATAAAAAAATTATTATTCACTATTACTTAATAATATGCTATAAATATTCCTGAAGTAATATATGAAATTTTAATATTTGCTAAACGTAAAAAAAAAAATTAATTTACCACAATTAATGTTACCTGAGAAATAACTCTATACCATTTCTATTGAAGAAACGCAATTTCATTGCGTTCGGTAAACAAGTATAATATTCTTTAATATTTTGAAACTCATGAAAGTGAAAGTAAAAAAATTGCAACTAATATTTTGAAAAAGAAAATATGCAAATTATAAACGAGTAATACGATGAAATTTTAATAAAATCGTATTTAAATGTCGATATACATGAAATTATGATACATATATTTTAATACATTAGATTTGTTTATACGATTTATTACGTTTGAATCGGTTATCCAATTTGCACTAAAAATAGAATTTTTAATTTCTTAATAATTTCTTTTTTTCGAAAAATCATTCTGACATGTATATAAATATATATGAGATTATAAGAATCAGTTGAAAGATAAATTGAAATATTATTTAATCAGGTAGTTATAATTTAATTAATTACCTATATATTTTTCTATCTACATATTAATTATCTAACAGAATATAAACATTTCATATTTTCATAAAATTTTCTAATATATAAATATATATATATATATATATAATATACATCTAACAGTTCGAATAATTTTTTTTAAAATACATTAAAAATGTTATGTTTTTGGAATTAGCCTGCAAGTAATAAATATCAATAAGATATTAAATATTATGAGAGAACACAATAATATAATAGTACAATTAATTTTATTACAAATATCTAATAATTATATATCTATTAGTAATAAATTTAATATTTATAAATTTTATAAATTGTAGAAATAACTTTTTACATTTTGCCTTAAATAATTATGTATTAATAATTTTTAATATTCGTAACATTCGAAAAATATTTTTTTTGGAAATATATTTTCTTAAAACATTACAAGTATGTCATTTTTATTATAAGAAATTCTTAATTTAACGAATATGTGTATTATAATGTATTTAAATAAAAGGACTGTTAGTTAAAAATATATTACATACAAAGATTTGAAAAAATGTTTTTTGTAAAGTAGAATGTTATATTGCGTCAATAATAGAGTGAATTATAATAATTAAAACATTTTAAATGAGACTAATGAAAATGTAAGTAAAAAATTAAAATTTTAATCATTTTGCGTAAGCATTTCTAAAGAGTTTTTTATTGTTTAGTTAAAGAAAAAAATAATTTCTCATCTAATATCGTTAAAAGTTTACTTTGTAGTGTAGTTTATATTAGTATAATATTACATTAGTTTAAGGAATATGCGTACACTGTTATTCTTTCACAGGATACGAGATTTTCTCTTGCTGACTTTTGCATGACATTGAATACCTCGTGAATAAAAAAACTTTCTATCTCTTTTCACATTAAACAAAGTTCTTATAAAATGCATGGCTTATCATTTGAATTTATTTGCATTTTGTGGGCAATAAGTACTTATATGATTCATGATATATATATATATATATATATATATATATATATAAATATATGTGTGTAGAAGAACATAAGCAGTATTTATCTTGATGTTTATTGCATTTTCTTTTTTCCTACAACTATGTATAAATTTTTTATGAATTTTTGAATAAATTTAAACTTATATTAAAGTTTATTCATATGAAATTAACACGAATAAAGCATTTTCTTTTTAATTTGAGCTATTCAAGTATTTTTTTCATTGAGACAATCAGTTTTTTGTTTGTAACTTTTTAAAATGAATATCTTAAGAAATATCAATTTTCTAATATAGTGTATCAAGAGTTTGTATATTTTAAACAAAAGGAGTTCGACAATATTGATTATTATTGACAATAATTCAGCTAAAGATTATTATAAACAAATTGAACAAATTTATTTAAATCATTGATGATTTTAATATCGAATATTATTGAATTTGAATTCGGTATTATGAAAAAGTAAAGACAAACTCTAATACCATCTATTCGAACTAAGAAATTAATTATCCAAATTTCTATATTTTTTTTTATATAACTATAAATGAAATTATTTATGTGACATGAATATATAAATAAACTTAATTTAAATAAACAATTGGCAATAACCATATTAAACAAACATTTTTGATAATATTAAATACATTAATCAGCGCATGAAATAATTTGAGCAAACGAAATATATAATAATGAATACGATTATTTAAAAATGTTATTTCCTGTTAAAGGAAATGACTATTATTAAAATACTTTAACTCAATGCTTAACTATATAAGGAATAAATAAAAAAATATATATATATATATATATATTATATAAAAAATTGTAACTGCTGAATCGCTATTTGATTTTTAGCTATTTTATAATACACTCACCATAAAGATATAAATTATAAAATTGTTTTATTTATTTTTGTGACTACAATATATGTTATATAAATATATGTTATATAAACGTATATTAGATATTACATTATATGTAATGGAATAAACTAAAAATAAAACTCATAATTTCCTCATTGTAGGCTACTATGCAGACGAGGAGGCGGGTTGTCAAGTTTTTCACGTCTGCGAAGACAGTCTTGTATCATCTTTTCTCTGTCCAGTGGGTTCTCTTTTTAGCCAACAACTATTAACATGCGATTGGTGGAGTAGAGTATCATGCACTGAAAGTCATAAGTTTTATAATCAGCAAAGTCATTCGACCGATACCTTGCTTACCGATAGCAATATGCTGCGTCAGGCACTTTCGGAAACGATGGATTATCAGAAAATGCAGCCGACGATAGAAAAAAAGAAAGAGAATGATAAAACGAATCTTACTTCAATGAGCATAAGGAGAAACGAAAATCAGCTGGAAAGCAATCACGATGCACGCAAAAGTTACTTTCGAGATCGAGATTATAAGCCTCGTGATATAAAAACCAGCAATGGCACAATTACGAAACTTCACAAAGATTTATCGTTGATAAGAATTAAATCATTGATCGAAGAAAAACGACGATCTAAAAACCGAGAACATTCTAGGTATTACGTAGAACAAACATTATTGATTAACAAATTATTTATGCAGTTTATATATTAGTCGATTTATCAATAATTATTAATGAAATAAAAGTATAATAAATAATGAGAAAACCTATTGTATAAAGATGTTGTTGATAAATATAATTTAAAATTAATTTTGTCAAAGAAAGTTTTTAGTGTAATAAAAATAATATAAATGTCAAGTGATGCTAAACTAATGTACAAAAAAATATAAATATATGTAAATGTTACTCAATATTGATCTTTTTTTTATTATTAAATATTAAATTATTATTAAAGAGATTATTTTTATTGTTAACTTCAGATTTGTCTATAAATTATATTAGTTATTCTGGTATTACGATAAATTGTTAATAATTTCTTATATGTTGATTAATAATTTCAGATTATCTATAAGCAATCGAAATCAGGTGAAGTTTAAAAATCAAGAAAAAGCTTTTAAATATTTCACATCGACTCGATCAAATTTATTATTGACAAAAAATGATGAGCAAACAACGGTTACCGAGGACACCATTTTTTCAAAAGAAAATAATATCAATTACGAGACAACGATAAGACCTTTCGAATCTTTTGCCAAACAATATGAAAATACCACTAATATAAACAGTTTGTCCAATTTATCAGCAAAGGCCAATTTGGATAGAAAGAAAATTAAGAATTCACAAAATTTTAGCAAACATAATTTTGGTTATGAGTATGATGAGATGGAAGGGACGGAAAGTATTGATTTCATAAATTCACAGGCTGAGCGAAACTTTGAGAAAGAAAGAAATATAATTAGTCTTGTACCCGATAGTAACAATCAAAAAAATAAATCAAGAATATCAATAATTTTCAATAATACGATTTCTAAGGCAAAATTACAACAAAAACATATTAATCAACCGACAGAGCAGTTTGAAGCTAAAGAGAGTATTGGTATAATTCAATATAATATTCCTGGCCAGCTCGAGCATTACGATAAACAAAAACATAAAGTGACTGAAGATTTGCATAAATATACCGATCAAACAATTAAAAAAATAAAGAATTCAGATGAAGAAAGAATCACTGATGTACCATTCCAGTATAAAACAGAAGAGTCGACATTATTGTTCGACACTTCGACGGAACCTTCGACTGTGGGAACTAATTTTGATTCCTATACCAATGACGATAATAAAGATATTCTTCGTATTATGCAATCTCATCAAGTACCGAGAAATCCGGTATTCCAAGTTGCCCTTGGAAATAATGAAACTTTTAATTTTACAGATACACCATTAATTACAACAATCCCAATCAATTATAAATACGTGTTAAATTCAACCGATATTCCATTTACAGATACCATTTTACCTATTACAATTCCCAATTTAGAACAAACAACATTAAGTAGTTATGCTAAACAATTTTCTGATACTCTACAAGAGAGTAATTCTCCATTGGAAGTGACTTTTCCATTAAATAGTGATAGAAATTTCACAAATGTCGATTCGAAAAATCCAATAGAATTGGAAATTCTTAGACGATTGATATCCCAGCAGGATAACCAGCCGATAAACTTTGAAGATCTTGAAATTGTTAGATCGGCTCAAATAAATCAGAAAATAAGAACCAATGAGAATCCACATGTTATCGAGTCTACAACTGCCGATACAAATTCACAAAATTTGAAATTAAATCAAATGGAGGAGAACGATCGACAAGCATTAGCAGACTATGTGCCGCCGTCAAAATTATCGGAAAGTCAATTTAATTTTCTAAATAATGAAAATAATCCAGTCAAATTTCATCAAACATTGCCTCAAATTATAAGAAATCAACATTACACATCTATTGCTTCTACACAATTGTCCCAGGAAAATAAAAATTATTATCCAATTTATCAAGAAACACCACGTGGTTTTCAAACTATCGAAGCCGATCGTGAAAAGCTTGGTCGTCTGACAAATTTCAACATCCAAGAATTTCTTCCTTTATCAGATATTAGTAATTTAGCTAATCGTAAAGAGCCCGTATACTCTAATCGCTATTTAAACCAACAAAAAATCACGCACTCTAATGTTTATCCAAAACATTGGAACAACAATAGATATAATAATAACAAAGAAGAAAATGATAACGGAAATAATCGAGTGAATTACGAGACGAATCATTATCCAGAAAATCATGTACATTACAAACAAAATACTGAAGAAAATTTTAACTATTATAATGATGGTAATATTAATTTTTTTAGAAATCCTGAAATTCAACAGAATTATAAAAACTACCGGAATAACGAAAACGATGAAAATTCTAAAAATCAAGATAAGACGCTTAATTTACAAAATGAAAATAGAGAAAAAATAAACAGAGATTATTTTGAATATGATAATTATAAAAATGCAGATGAAATATCTGAAATTTCACCTTATGTAGATTTTGGAAATCGTATTATAAAAAAGAATAGAAATACAAATATTGCAAAGCCAGTTGATAATAAGCAAAAAATTATGCAAAATTTCAATAAGTATAAAATAAATTCTGATATTTTGGGAAAGGGAGTGAATTTTTTGTGGACCATGAGCCAGTTAATTAAAAATGATCGCTCATCAAGGCCACTCATTCCAGCTAACGGTATGTTCGAACAGAATTCAAATAACAAAAATAAAAATCTTTATAATACCGACCCACAGGATAATATTAACTTTGATAACATTAATAGTTTTAAAGAAATCTCTATAAACAATAACATTAACAACAATAATAAGTATTATTATAATGACTTTAAAGTGAATGAAAGTGACTTGTTATATAATTATAGAAATATTAATCAAAACACTATGCAGAATTTTACCGACGGTCGACACAATATTAATATGGAAAACTTTTCGAAATTCGAAAGACTTCCATTTTTCAACAAAATAAGTAAAACTCTTGACAATGTAGAGCCTCCATTAAAATTGGATAATCAAAAGACTTTTAATGAACCTGGAGAAGAAAATTATAGTACAACACATTTCGTTCCTGACGGATCTTATCAAATATTACCAAATTTCGAATCTCATGCCAATGCTCACGATATCCCAAAATTACCCGAATTAAATGTATTTAATCCCTTTAATAACAATCAACAGCCATCAAAAATTTCGCAATCAACTTTTAACGGCTTTAAACCCGAACATTATCAGCTATCTAATGAAAATATTAAGATACTTAATGATCCTCGGTTACAGTCAATTCATAGCAATCTTTACAAAAATGCTCAAACAAATTTTGAAAATATTCACCTTGGAGACAAAGATATTCACGTTCATCCTGAATCGATTGATTATAACTTCGATTCAACTACTCAACAAAGCAGTAAAAACAGTGAATGGCCGCAAAAAAATTCCCAAATAACGCAAGAGAGTCAATCGGAAAGAAACGATCATCATTATGAACCAACTATTTTTACAACTGAAACGAATATTCGATTCCACGATTTTACTAACGACAATGTCAAATACAACGAAACCGAGCTGCCAACTACACGGAAATCTTTAGTGGAAACTGAATTTATTCCATCGATTAGCTTTGATTTTGGTAGTGACGAAGGAATGAAAGAATATTTAGAAGCTTTAAGGAAAGGTTTAGTAACTAATGATAACGATGCTACAACAATTGATCGACAATCGAATTTTTCGATGAATTCACAAACGGAGGCTAAGGAAAAAATAAGAAGCAAAAAGAGCAAAAATAGTAAAATTATAAACAATTTTACAGATTAAACAACAAAGTAATCTGATTAGTGATCTTATATCATAATTTTGTAAAAAGTATTTATAAAACTAATTGTACACACATGCATAAATCAATGAATAAATAAATAAATAAATAAATTAATATATATATATATATATATATATATATATATATATATATATATATATATATATATATATATATATATATATATGTATATATATATATATATACATAGATATGTGTGCGTGTGTATGTGTGTTTAAAAGAGAAACGAATGATTATGAATGAAACTTGAGGTATTTTTTGAAAATTATACATTATAGGAAGAAATGTAATTATTCTGTATAATAATAATTTGAATGTAAAATTTTATTATTTCAAAATATTGTAAAATATGAAATATATCATTTGAATAAAAACTATTAATGTGTAAAGGTTGTATCATTTTTTTCATTAGATTTCATATATTAATGACAATAAACTACAAAAATGATATATTTAATACCTGTTCAAGCAATATATATATATATATATATATATATATATATATATATATATATATAAAAACTATTTTTACAATTTTTATACATAAATACAGAGTGTTTATAAAATATATGATGTAATTGTACGTAAACATATAGTATTTATTATTATTATTATTAATTATTATTATTGATTAATCCATATATAATTAAAATATTATATATTTTTTATTCTTAATTAAGTGCGTTAAAGATTTTTATACAATGATTTGTATGTTTATAGAATTATATATTATAATTTGTAATATTCAATTGTAAGACAATTCGTTATTAAGTTTTATCAATTTGCTCAAATCTTCTCATTATAGTTCCATAGTTATTTTGGTAAATAAATTTGATAAATACGGGAAAGAATAATGTATTTGAAACCATAGAAACACAAGTAAGGAAAAGCGCCTGGAACCATAGAAACGCTGTTATTAGCGGGTATTTGCTAAGTCAATGTCGAAGTATATAATAACCTAAGATTTACAACTATTGTATTCTATAATTTTCTAATTTTAATGAATAATAATGTCGGATAAAAGCGAACGAGAGCATATATCCTCAAATGCTAGTTTTATCGATGAGAATTTCTATGCTGAAAGTCGCGACACGATTAACTCATCGTTTTCGGATTCTACAGATTATCGGTACATTTCATTATTTCTTTTTATTTTAAATTGAAAGAAAAAAAAAATTAATACTTACTATTGTTAAAATTCACTTAATGAATTTAATTATTTATAAATGTTAATTATTTATTAATCTATTCATTAATGCATGTTTTTATTATATACATATATTAATGCACTCTGCATCTCGTTGAACTTTATTTTACATTTAGTTCACTTTTATTTGGATTAAGTTTTCAATAATGATTGTTTTTTATTATTATTCTTAAAAATAGGCTTCTTTGGATTCGAGAAAAAATAATGAACTTCCTAGGTTTGAGCGATTTACAGGATATCTTTAATGATCTTATGAACGTAATTAAAAATATAAATTATGTTATAAATTTATTAATTAGTTTTATAATTACAATAAATATTGAAATATGTATGAAAATATTTTAGAATAATCGTGGATATTATAAAAAGAAACTTCTTAGTTTGTTAGATGTTAATACATTTGAAATACAAGATCTTGAATATAAACAGGTATTCTTTTACAAGACCTACAGAGATGAAATTGTACAAGACGAAATATCGGTTTGGGAAGGTAAGTAAAATTATATTTTCAATTTTAATACTTAAATTTGAAATACTACGAACAAAACATTTTATTCATATAATTCATATAAATAAATATTGATATAAGCGTATGATATAAGCCCAATGTTTTAATTTATTATTATTATTTAATAACAATTTTTCTTTATTAATTTTGTTTAGTTTAAATATACACGATGCATATGTATATTTATTAATTATCGTAAATTAAAATAATAACAGAGTATATGATTTATAAAAATAAAAAATTTAAACTGATTTAAACGAATAATCCTTCCTTTTACTACGCATAAAGTAGTTTTTATTAATAATTTGATAATAAATTTAATACATTCTTTTATAGCTAAATACACAGACAATTAATTTATTTATATAAAATTATTATTATTATTATTATTATTATTATTAATAGATATAAATATTTTTAATTACGAATATAACAATATTTATAAATATTAATTTAAAATTAAATTAGGTCATACAAAAATAGCAACATTGGAATCTTATGCAACTCAAGTTAAGTCGCAAAGATTAGTAAAAAGTGCTCCCAATGGTAAAATCTATTTAAATATAACATAAATGTATTGTTTACGCCATGTATTGCTTGTAAAGTTGCTTAGATTAGGTATGCATGCATAGACTGTTAAAGCTTCATAATATTGACTTAATGTTATAATTGATCAATGCAATAAAGAATCAACATCAAACAATATATAAGAATATTTAGACTCACCAGAAATTAAATAAAAAAAAGAACTATATATATATATATATATATATATATATATATATATTGCATTGCTGTAGAAAATATTGTTTGCTTAATACAATAGAAATTTATGCCATTAATTATTTATCGTTTGAATTTTTACGATTAATTAATTTGACAATCAATATGTTGTACAATATGTTGTCGAAAATGTTTATTGACTATTTTATTGTATTTTATGTAATCTAATGTACAACTTATTAGTCAAGAAGAAAAAAGGTAAGAATAAAAAGACTGCGAAAAATTTGAAGCCAAAAAGCCAAGAGTCAATAAAGAGCGATGAGTCCATAATCCACAATATTGAATCGCCCACCGCATTGGGCTCTGATTGGTCCATCGGTAGCCGCGAAGGTCAGGAAGAAGCAGACGGAGAAGAATCTTTTGACAGCTCTATCGACAGAAATAATTTAGAACTTCTGATGAAAAAGAAAAGCGAGCCAATAATTAAGGAAAATTATTGTAAGATTTCTATTTTGAAATATAAAAGACTTTTTGTAATTAACATTTATTAATTATTTATTTAATTTTAATCTCTACTCTATGATCTCACGATATTAAACGCAATTCTATATCAATAGACTCGATCAGTATTAACAGATAGATATAAAATATTTATTCCAAATAGTCTGTGCTATCGATTTATATTATTTATGAGTGAAATGTTCAAATTTACGTCATTATTCATTGAAATGCATATTTAAAGTTATAATAGAAACTAAAAATATCGACTGTTTGTGAAAGAATATGTAAATATATTATTATATTCGTTAATCAAGTTATACGTTCTTATAATTTCTACAGATTACAACAACAATCTCACGCGAATATTACAACAAAACGACATAATAATGTTTAAGAAAAGAACGCGAAATAATAATTTTTATCACTATTTAATTAGTCTATCGAATTTACCTATAAAGCAATTTTTATTAAAGACTTTAACATTATGAGTTATTAATATCTTTGAAAATTTTTGAAATTTACAATCAATAATAATATTTATTGTAAGTCTTATTATATGAATTTATAATTTTTAGATTATTGATTTAAACTCACAATTATAAAATTAAAATGTTTTATTAAAGTTTATATTATTAGAAAAAAAAAAAATTCTTAAAAAAAAAAGAAAGAAGAAATTAATTTATTATTGAGAATTAATACGAAATATTATGCTTTCCATAAATTTTAGCTGAAACAGAAATCTTTATACCACCACCTAGAGAAAGACATAAATATGTCTTAACGAAGGTATGATGATTACACAAAATAATGTTGCGTTGGAACACGCCTAATGTAATTCTAAAATTCTTTGTATTCATATAAATAGAAACTCGTAGAGAGATCGGTTAGAGTACCTGTACTCCATTGTTTTTTCGGTGAAATCGACGGCTCGAATAGCCAATTGAGTGATCAGCAACTGATCTATTTATTACGTAGCAAAGATTCAGCAATTCCTTTATATGAATCGAAAAAAGAGTGTTGGGCAGATTTTCCTCGTCACATATTGGTTGGATCGATACAGGGACAATTTTTACCAGCGATGGATCAGTTATTGAAAAATGTATTCTTACCACTGGCTGAGAGACAATTTCACGCAAACAACATAATCTGGGAGAAATTCGACAATAGTAATATAGAAAAGAATGCTGAAATAATCGATAATTTAATAAAATTTCAGGTACGCGTTTATACTGAGTTCTATCAATTGCCTTTATAACGTATAATCGATTAAAAATTTATTTAATATTCTTTAATTTAATATATATATATGTATTAGACGAATTAAATCAAATATAAATATGTTATGTGTCGTTTTTTTATGGAAGATCGATTAAAATTATTTTCATGAAACGAGGTAAAGTATTTTACTAATGAATTATTAAAGTTTGATTCGATTAAGAAATAAAATTATTCCTATATGCATATTTTTTAATTTATTATAATTTAAATAATCCTGTTACATAATTAAATGCCATTTATTATATCAAAAATATATAAATGTAAATAAATTTCTTGCCGAAGGGAGAAGATTTTATACCACCTTCGATTATACGTAGATCGACTACACTAATTAAAATGAAAAAAATCGAAAAAAAGGGCCAAGAACAAAGTTCAATTAATAGATCGATTGATATTAATCAATCACATGATCAAGTTGGTAAAATAAAGTTCACAGAAGATTTATCAAATTTGATCGAGTCTGTAGAATGGTAATTCAGTCAATTAGTTAGATTTAGAATTAGAAGACTAGTCGATTTTTATTCATAAAAGTATTATGGTATTTATTAATGATAAATGCATAATGGCAATATTATTATAAAAATTAATTTACTCCGAAGGGCTATGGATCATATCGAAGGCGAAACTCTACTAACTATTCCCGACGTGCTTGATGCTATTGATCCCCGTGTAAATGACAATGAGCTTGCCAAGTATAAAACATTGGTACAACAACTGGAAGAAATCGTCATATCATGGAAAGAACATTTTAAAAAGGTTTCTTTACTCAATAATTTATGTAATTGTTATCTTTACATGTATTATTAATTAATTAGATTAATAATAGTAATTCGGTGTCACTGAATTAAGAAGAAATTTTTTATATCAAGTGGAACTTCAGTACTCTTATTAATACATTTTTTTCTAAGTTATATTGAAGCTTAAAAACGTTTGAAACTTTACGAAACATTGAAATCTGAAAATATTACATTAGACTTTGAGATCTAAACTAAATCTAAACATACATTGTTAATAATAAATGCATTATACATGATACGGTTGATTAATTAAATTAATAACTATTTAGGTACTAGATATGTACCTGAATAAATCATCAAACAAGAGCCCGATGATTGAATACAAGTACTGGCACGATTGTGAATCAGGAACGTCATTGCTCGTTGAGCAATCGAGATCCGCGGCAATTGTCAAGACTATAAATATTCTGAAGATAGCAAAATCCCCAAAAATTACTGGATTCGAGTTTCTCGTTCAGGAACTTTCCGAACTTTACAACACTGCCACGGATAATAATAAATTTCTCTCCACAGTTATAAGATATTTTAAGGTAATTTGATGGATATTGACAATTAAGGGTGATTAAATAATAAAAGTCATAATACATGACCAATTATTTATTTATTTATTTATTTTTTTTTTTTTTTTGTTTTTTTTTGTTTTGTTTTTTTTTTGTTTTTGTTTGTTTGTTTGTTTGTTTGTTTGTATTACATTAATTCACGTTATTTTATAGATTTTGGAAGAGACTACTTCGTTCGATGAAATTATTCGTATTATTCCAGGAATCTATGAGCACTTGAGAATGATCTGGATTTTATCAAAATATTATGGATTGGAGGAAAATATGGTTTCATTAATAGAAAAATTATCATGGCAGATACGACAAAATTTTATAAAAAATTTACAATTTAAAAAGCTATTTAAGTACGTAGAGATAGAATTATTTTAACGCTAATCTACGTAATAAAAATTCTGAAATTTTAATTGATTACTATAGCTAGAAGGCTTTTGTTAATTATTCAATCGTAATTAAACGTGAAAAATAATATAAAACCTTAAGTATTTTTATTTCGTAAAAGCATCGCATGTATTACCAGCGTCTAATTACTAAAAAAAAAAAAAAAAAAAAAAAAAAAAAAAAATAATTACCAAAAAAATTTCTTAAAAGTCATTATACAATTATATATGTTTCAAATTTGTTTGTGTTTTTATTTTTGCAATAGTGAGCCGTTAGAAACAATTTTAACAAAAATGGATACGGCTCACAGAATGTTGAAACTCTGGAAATCTACTTACCTCAACGTGCGCAGTAGTATCGAACAATCAGGCAAAGGCCCACGATGGGAATTCGATCAACAAAGACTATTCAAAGATACTGATTATCTCGGCATGGTAACACTGATTACGTAAAATATATCTCCGAGATTTTAATAACACTAATTGGATTAATCTTTAAAGTATTTATATGGTTGTTTGTTGATTTTTAATTTTTAATTTGTTATTGCGACTAAGCAATTTTCAAATCATCGATACGCGAGAGAAAACATTTTTTTTTTTTTTTTTATCAAATACCGAGTATTTTTATGGAAATTTTGTTGTAACTTGAAATTATCAAATTTTTTGTGTTTTTTCGATCTTCAATGCTTTTTTTTTTCTTAAAATATTTATGTTTTTAAAGTAAAAATTTAATAAATTATTATGTTTATTCGTATAAATTAATAATAAATGTTCTTTTTCCTTATTTTCCTTTGATTAACTTGCGTATATATATATATATATATATATATATATATATATACGTGGGAATTTATTCAATTAATATGATTATTATAAATTTGTGAAGAATCGTCAAAAATGTTTCAGTTTTTATTTGTAATATTGTAGGTAGCCAGCAATCTTTATGAAATTGTGGATGTCACTCGTGATTTCAATAATATATTTGGTGAAGAATTGAAATCTATTGTAGATGATCCAGCACACATTGACAGCATTGTCGAACGAATTAGCGAATTACTGAAACCCATAATAAATGCTGAAAGCGATGCATTTAACGAGTTTAATCGCGATAATTGGGAGGCGACAATGACCTGGTTTCGGGTTGAAGCTGGAAAATTTGAAGCAGAAGCTGAGTTATTTATAGACAAAAGTTTCCGTGCATTAATAAAAGCAGAAGATGCGCTTGCTATGCTTATGAAATTCAGATCCATGAAGACAAGAGAGTCCATGCAACATAAACTGGCCACGAAATTTGATGTGATTATACAACAATTTAGCAAAGAAGTGAACGAAGTAGAAAATGCATTTAATAAGAGTAAGCAACTATGATATTTCTTACAAACCGATAAGATGTATTTATATTTATCAAGTATTTATCAAAAATTCGGCAACCGTATATATATATATATATACACATATATATATATAATTTAAATTAATATAATTATTTTTTCAGCTATTAGATAATCTTACTAGATAATATAAAATGATTGATCCATTTTTTTTTTTTTTTTTTTTTGTTCGACAAGATTAATACATAGCTCTTTTAATTTTAAAGGCTTATCTAATTCACAATATAATGACGTAAATGTAAGATAAATGATATATCGATAAACTTATACTAAACGTTTAAAAATTATACTTTAACAATTTGAACTAATTCATTAGCATAAAAACATAACCCTGATAAACGTTTACAGATAAACGCAATCCACCCGTATCGCAATATTTTTCACCGATTGCTGGTGCGATATTTTGGGAACGGCAATTATTTTATAGACTGAAGAACTCGGTCGTTATCTTGAATGAAATTGAAGAAATCAGAACAAGTGATAAAAAGACCTTCGCCTTTGAACAATATGTCATATTGGCTCAGCAAATGAAAAATTACGAAGATGATAAATATGGCACATTTGTTAAAATTGCGAATCCAATTTTACAGGCTTCGATGCGTCGTAATATCTTGGCATTAGAAGCTTCTGAGAAAAAGCCAGGTTGTGAATATATATTTTACAATCACTTTTGCACATTCGAGAAATATTATAATATATTTATTTAACATCGCCTGCTTATAAAACGACAAAAATAAAATCAAACGATTTTTAATTTTTTAATAGAAAGTTTAATAACCGTTTTCTTCTTCTTCTTCTTCTTCTTCTTCTTATTATTATTATTATTATTATTTTATTATATTAGCTAATAGTCGTATGGCGCAGGCAAAGGCCTTAAAAATGAATTCATCAAAAAAATTGGGAAGCGGTGATTATGTTTCAATAGGAACTGTTGTAACAAATCGTGCTGATGATAAAACGAATTCTATAGTATCAAACATTTCTAACTCTGGTAAAAATAGCTTTTATTATTTGATTAATATTTTCATAAATTCCACTAATTTAAAATTACATACAAATTAAAAATGTAGCGATTTCTCGAAGTGTTAGACAATCCCAATACGAGAGGAAATTTGGTAGCACGAAATCTATAAAATCTAAACTTTCTTCTGGATCTAACAAAGTTGAAAAGTTTCAGCAGCAAATAATGAAAAATGTAGATCTGATGAGAGGTGCGATTTTATTGGAAAATCAAATGAAATTAACTGTTAATTTCAACACTGATGTTTTTAAATTCATACGCGAGGTAATTATTATTCTAACTAATCATTAGTATAGCAATTAATATATTATGAATAATATGAGAATCTTTAAACGCAGTATACATTTCATATAATTTATTAAGTATTGCTTTTTATTAATCATTCAATGATGAGTTATAAGTTTCATAATTACTTGTGTTATGTATTATAAGTATTGTGTTATAAGTGTGTTCACATACTTGTGTTACTGTGACAAAAAAAAGAAAGATTGTATTTGGATATTAATTATAATCAAATTTCAGGCTGAATTAATGGAGAAATTAGGATTTACATTGCCATCATCAATACGAGAAATTGCAATACAAAAGTACAGATTATATGAAAATTATGATGCAGTTAAAAACATGATTAATGAATATAATAATATCATCGATCAATTTGATGAGGCAGACGTAAGAATACAACTTAAAGTATTATTTAATTTTTCTTTTTAAATATAAGAAAATCAGGCTGCATGTATTTACGTAATAGTTGTCTATTTCAAATATATATATATATATATATATATATATTTTTTTTTTTTTTTTTTTAATCCAATGGGTAGAATTTAAAGTATCGTAAAAAATTTTCAAACCTTGCATCAACGCAATAGTTATGCAGTGAACTCACTTTTCATTTATATCGTTTTTACCCTACCTTTACGATTGTTAGCAACTTTATTTGTAAATATCAAAGGTTGACATAATATTAAATATCAAGGATATGTAATATTGATATAATACTCTCTTATGTACAAAATTCAATCGTCAAATTTAGATTATCCTTGACTGTTTGCTCTTATTACTGACTGTAATTAAAAAAAATTCTATTATATTTTTACTATCATTACCAATATGATAATAATTAAATTTCTTTATAAATAAAAGTTATTAATCATTAAGTAGCTTAAGTGCTATTTATGTTTATTTATCCGTCGAAAAAATCCGGTAATTATATAATATTATATTGTTGTATTCGAGGAATTCTCTCTTATCCTTTAATATTGAGACTATTAACAGCGTACTAGGGGTTGAAATATAATTGAAGTACTTAAAATAATATACATTACGGTATAATGTATACACGATATTAACTTGTGTTAGCTGTGTACCTTATGTAGATTATAAAGGAGGGAGAAGAAAAGAAATGTTAAAAAAATATATTAACAAAAACTGTTGCTTATTTTGTGCCTTAATAGTGATGCTTCTTACCTAGTTTTTCGTAGGAAAAGTCACCAATAATCGCCAATGATGTTTCATCATCGCTTATCTTCCTAAGTAATAAATTTCTTCTTGACTTGCACGTTACGGAAATGTTGAAACATCGCGGTTATATGTTTGTCTTTGCAGTAAGTAACTTTCGGTCATGTTCTCCACACCTTCTACCTACCTTAAATCGTATCCGTATGAGCCTGTTGTACGTGCCGAAGCTATGATACAATAAAGATACTTTAAAATTATATATAAAACTAATATAATTTCGATAAAGTATGCATTGAACTAATATATCGATATCACTTAAATTATAATATTCGCGAATGTAATAATGCTAAAATAATGTTTGTATAAATTAACAAATCACTATTTTTCTACAGATTTTACTATTAAAGAACGTCTTGCACAATGTGGAAAAACAAATTCAACCAGGTATAATGCGACTCAATTGGCATTCTCTCAATATAAATAACTACACCCTTAAATGTATGAAGCTATTAAAAAATATTACTTCCATCGTAACGCAAATTAATCAGATTAGGCGGGAGCTCGATGATAAAATTGAAAATGTTCTCAGCCGCTTTAATCTCTTTACAATGCAAGCCGATCCAAACGAGCCTGGTTATGAATTACAAACTTGCAAAGTTCGTACTCAATGTTACTTTATACTTTTTATATTAACAAATTTCTCTCATTCATTTGATAAAAATTTTAAGTAAAAATTTCATTCCTCATTGCATTCGTATAAGTATAACTTATTCTTTAATAATCGTGAGTGCATAAATCGAGGTGATTGATTATATGAAAAATTCATGAGCACCTTGACAATATAAATAAACATTGGTTATTAAAAGTTGATTAATGCTCGAGTAATAGAAATAATATTTTCAATACTCGAGGATATAAATTTTGCAGGAACTCTTCGCAAATATTGAAACTAAAAGAAGCGATCTTGTAACTCGAATGCTAAAATGTTATCAAACAATGAATCCATTGTTAACTAAACTTGAAGGTCTAGTGGAAGGTACTGCAACAGGGCGTAGTTCAGCGATGCTACTTTATTATGAATATTATGAACAGAAGATTTTTTCCGGCTTTATAACGTAAATATAATTATAATTTCTTTTCCAAATGCAATGTTTATTATTATTATAAATTTTAGACAATTTTCATTTTACATATTATTACAGATGTTATATACGTAATTTGGAGTATCTCAAAAACATATTAACTACGAATAAGCCATTATTTTATGTAGATGCAATTATTTCATTGTCAGAAGTGGAATTTCAACCATCTGCCGCGGAGATTTATACAATTATAATGAATAGCGTTAAGAATTTAATGCAACGAATGAAAATTTTTCCCAGGTGGATGTCAGGAACTTCTATCGAATGTGAGCCAATCATAAATGACACAAAAACAGAATTTATAATTTTTAGTTTTTTCGAAGATGTTATGAGTATTCAGGTATTGAAATATTTATTTAATTTATACTTTTCATGTATTAGAGCTGTATAATTATGTTTTCATGACATTTTTCTAATATTCAATAAAACATACAATCTTATCAATTATTTTCAATTCATTCAAGACGAAAAATTGATCTTAACAATGGATGGATCCTTCATTAAAAAGTTTTATTTTTTTCTAGAACTATTTTTTAATATTTAACACAAATTGTGAAGAATGAAATCATTAAAATTTGTATATTAAAACGCAAAAAAAAACTTAAAAAAACAAAAACGAAAAAAAAACCAAACAAATTTTTGTAACTCTGTTAATTTATTTTATAAGCAAAAAATTTTCTTCCATTTCAGGTAATAAATGCGCTCATATCTATGATTCAAGATAAATTACATAGATTGATACAAGATTGCTGGCGATACTTATATAAATGGAAAAAATATATAAATATTTGGGCAGCTGATAAAGATCAGATTTGTGCAAAATTTATATCAACGAATCCTACGTTACAACAATATATTGAAAAATTCGATTTCTATGATTCAATAATGGATGAAATTAACGATATGGCGGAGTATCAGGATATTTATAGCATCAGGTATGATTTTGATATATTATTGTATGAAACTTCCCTTTATATTTCCTTGATATTAACAAGAGGCTTATTAATTAATTAAAGAAAAATTATTATTAATTTTAATTGTTTTAATTTTTTGTATACTTTTATGGTAAAGAAAAAAAAAAAAAAAAAAAAAAACCACGTCTACTGCAATATATACTCTATAATTAAATGTGTTATTTTATTTACATTATAGTGTATCAAATATAATTAAAATAATAAGCGTTACAAAAATCTATAGTGTGCAAAAAAAAATTATGACAACTATATATTTTACATTAACTAGTGCTCTTACAAAGTATAAAAGAGCACACATTGGAATGGAAACGTATTTATGGTAACCATCTTCACGAGGAGACAGTGGCAGCTATGAATAATCTAAAAAACACCATTATCAATTACACAAATAAAATAGAATTGATTATCAATAGCTTAGAGCGTTTCAAGATCGTTATGCAATCCATCAATGATATCAAACACATGGCTATTCAAACTCAAATCCAGTATTTGCAGTACCAAGTTTGTTGCATAAACATATTATAAAAATTTCTCTTTTTCCTCACTAATTAGGATAGAATTGTAAAGTTTTTGTTTAAACATTTTTGTTTATTATTATGTTTATTAGTGATTACTAATCGATTTGTGTCTTTCAAAAAATGTACTCCTTGAAAATTTCAAGCTTTCAAGAAAAAAAAAAAATTATATTTAACTTATAAAGATTATACGTATTTATATGAGACATATAATTTCATATAATTAACAAATATTGCGGAAAAAGTAATCGGAAACTTAGGAATTAATATAATTCTAATTACTTTTTAAGTTTATTCATAAAATTTCGTATTACATTACTCTTATTCTTTTTTTTTTATCGATATGTCATATACTTGTAACATTTTATAGGAATATAAGATATATTAATTTATATAGCAATCGCAATCATTATCAAATTTGCTCCGAGTGACTAGAATTTCTTCATATTAATAAGATTTATAAGGCTCATACTTATATCCACTTTTATATTTGTCAATATTTTCTTTGATATCCTTTTCTTCGATCATATATTTATATCCACGACAGATATTTTAAATCTATTCAATTAAATTATTTCTTAAAGCACAAAATGAAAGCGAAATTTTCGTGGCTGTGCACGCTACCATACGTTCTTTTGTTACTTATTTCTATTTTCAATATTTTTCTATTTCACTTGCTTTCTTATATCCGTTAAATTCTGATTATGAACAAAATGTCGATATTTAACATTTAACTCATAGGCTAATAACTGACATTAGGAAAGTTTTATAAAAATTAGGAATCGCTTTGTTCGATATAATCTTTCGACATTATCTTTTACTGCTTTGTATAAATATTTTTCTATTATTTTCAATGCTATATTACTAATATTTAGTTAGACTGACTTATAGTTTAATTGTAATTATTTTAATATCATATTGAATAAATATCTTCTTCTGCATTTACTTCGTCTGAAAATACTGATATTTAGATTTTTAAATTGTAAAAATGGATATGAGTATCGATGTCTCATATATATGAGAGAATATTTCAAATGATAAGAAAACTATATTTCCTTATCAATATCGACCAATGCATACTTATTACAGATAAGCGGCTAAAATAATTCACAATATATATATATATTTTTTTTTTTTTTTTTTTTTTTTTTTTTGAGAGCGCGATTAAATATAAACTTTATAAAAGCATGAACGCTTATGTTTATATAGTGTAAGGAATATTTGAAAATAATTGCTTTCAATAGATCCTCTGAATATTATTCCTGACTGATAAGATTCATTATTTATTAGTTACAGTTTGTGTGTTATAGTTAAAGAATATTCTATCCTAAAATATCTATAAATTTCTGTATATGTAGAATTAGCCTGAAAAGCGAAAATGCCTTCTTCAGGAAACATTTCGATTATTGCGGACTCACAATCTTGAGTTCTTAGAGAGCGAGGAGCTTCTTGCACAGACCCTAGAGACGGATTGGGCATCACTGTATCTCGGAGCACTATACAGATTTAACAATTTAGACAATACGAAAGATCAATATTGTTCCATGACGGCAAAACAGATCGAAGATTTCAAATGCGATATTGCTGAGTTTGTTGACAAATTTTACAAAGATGGACCAGGAAATTGCGGACAAAATTTGGATCTTGGCATGACAAAAATGGAAGTAAGAATCTATTATCTTACTTTCGTATACTTAAGCGATAATATAAAAAATGATATTTAATAAAAAGTTCTATGTAAGTTTATTATATGGAATTTAGAATATTATATGAATATAACTATATATATATATATATATATATATATATATATATACATATAGATAGATAGATAGAAAGAAAGAAAGAATTAATTTAAAAGGTTCTATCTAATTACAATTTATTCCAAAGATTATTAATTTAATTATAATATTTTCGTGAAATTTATTGATGTCTATTTAAACGATAATAAAAATTAACCTACTAACACATTCTAAAAATGGATGAATTATTGTTTCAGATTGACGAATAATTAAGAAAAATTTAACTAAATTCATCGATATCAACATTATAGATTTATAACTATGTCTATCGCTTTTAACATCTCATCTACTTTCTCATAAACAATAATCATTTTAATAATATAACGAAAAAAATTAATTTATATAAATTTGTTTCAACAGGAATTTGGTCTAGAAATTAATCATCTGCAGCAAATGTTGGATGACTTACAAAACGCTGAATTGCTTTTTGATTTACCGGGCTCGGATTACTCAAACTTTAATACAGTTAAGAATGAATACGAATCAATGGAGAAGATTTTCGAAATGTATAAAAGTCAGAAGATGTCTCGTGACATTTGGGCAAAGACATTGTGGAAAGATCTTAATCCAGTGGAACTCATAAATGGCATGGATCACTATTTGAAAGAATTTCGTAAAATGCCATTGGCTGCAAGAAATCTAACGGTAGGACGGACCTTGGAAATGAGTATGAAAAGCTTCAAGAATTCCGTTCCTTTATTCGTTGAATTAAAGAACGAGGCTATGAGAGAGAGACACTGGAAGGAATTGATGGATCGTACCGGGAAGCACTTTGACATGTCCGCTGACAGGTTCGCGTAATAAACAAGAGATTCGCGAAGTACTTTTTAACGAAAGATATTTTGTGTGATATATATATATATATATATACAACGCCGATCGTAGAAAGTGATATAAACAATAATGGATAAATAATATTTATTAATCCTTTATTTTGTTTTATGACTGTATTATATTACATTAAAATTTCTTCGTTAAAAACGTATCTAAAATAATATAGGAATAACGAGTATTCAAAATACATTTTCACTTTCAAAAATAATCTCGATTAATAACTTTGAAATAATGATACCTTGTTAGCTTTTGATAAACTTTAAAATAGCTCAACATTTCCGAATAAAGTAATTAATTTCATTCATTTTTATTTATGTAAATGAAACAATATTTATTAAGTCATAAAGCTAATTATCTAACGTGTGCTAAAAAAAAAAAAAAAAAAAAAAAAAAAAAAAAAAAAAATAAAATAAAGTAAAATAAAATAAATAAATAAAAAACAATGGAAAATTTATGTTTGAAATCGATCGAACGTTTAATCATTTAATCGTATATTGTGAAAATTAAATTATATTTATAATTACATTTGGAGTTTATGATATTGTGTAATAATTAAATAATGTGCTTAAAAACATTGATTATTAAGATTAAAAACTTTACTAATACACAAATGAAAAACTAATAAAAATATAAAATATACCTTTTCGCGAGGTGAAATAAATATAAACGATAGTGCGTAATAATAGACATTTGTGATAAAATAATTTAATAAAAAACATTATCAATATGGAGGGGTAAGCTACTAATTATTAAAAAATTTCTATACAATTATTATTTTTTATGTTTTTTTTCTTTTCGTTTTCTATTATGACATATAATTTTTATTATTAGATTATTTCATATAATGGTATATTGATGAATTTAATTTGATCAAATTTATAATTAATTTTATTTTAGGTATTTAAATATTAATATATATTATTCTTAACAAAATACACTTATTAAAAATTTCTCTATTCTTAGAAATTTAAAAGACATAATTTCCTACAACGCGATAATTTCACCATTTAAAACAAAAAAAAAAAAAAAAAAAGAAAATAATAAAAAAATAAAAATAATAAATAAAGGTTTACCTTGGAGAATATGTTTGCAATGGATCTGGCGAATTACCAAGAGATTGCTGAACAAATCATTAGCAATGCAAGTCGGGAATTAGCAATAGAACGCGGTGTTAAGGAGATTGGGGAGATTTGGGACGATCTGAACTTTAAGCTGCTGCATCATGTAAAAGGAGAAGAAGATCGTGGATTTATACTTGGAAATATCGATGAACTTAACCAGGTATGAATTAATAAATTAACAAACGACATTATACAAGGATGATATAGTCATGAGAGTTTTGCATTATTAATGACGCATTTTATAATTTTGCATTTTTTAAATTGAAACAAGGTATTTCGTAATATACAATGACATTTACTTTTTAATACAATATCCTTTACGTAGTAAATTTTTACATTTCCATAAAAGTTTTTATAAATTAAAATACTTTGTTGTTCACCAATTACGATATCCTTATAATGTGTGGATATTGTATTTAGAACGTAATAAAACTATAAGGACTTTATATTGAAAACTAAAACTAATAATTGCAGCATAGATTATTATTGTTTTAATATCCATGCATATTAATTTCATCCGAGATAAAGATCATAAATTATACATCACGAATTCTAGATCTTGGAAGACAACGCACTGAATATTCAGAGTATATCAGCTTCGCAATTCATAGGTCCATTTCTCAGTGTTGTTCTGAAATGGGAAAAAGCAATGCGCACAATTGCTGATGTGATTGAGGCTTGGCTAGAGTTGCAAAGACAGTGGATGTATCTCGAGGGAATATTTATCGGTGGTGATATTAGATTGCAGCTGCCCGAAGAAGCTAAGCGCTTCGACATTGTCGATCAAACATTTCGCAGAATAATGGTTGATACTGTAAAAAATCCCAACGTCTTGGAATGCTGTTCCGTTCCAAGTACGCAAACGTTTATCTTTTAATCGCTAAATTCAAGATTGTTAATAAAGTTGTTATTATCTTGTTAATCTTGTTAATATTGTTAATCTTGTTAATCTTGTTAATCTTGTCAATAACAATCTTGTTAATAAAGCATAAGATTTATTTACAAGCGACCTAACACTATCTAACAAGATTAATAATCTTGAAGCGACCAATGAACATTTACAGTCTATATTCGAATTTATAAAGTAGTAATTCGCATAAAATTATAGGCAGTTGTGCAATTATGGCCAAGCGAATTTTATTGAAAACTTCTTCTTTTTTTTTGTTTTTTTTTTGTTTTTGTTTTTGTTTGTTTTTTGTTTTTTGTTTTTTTTTTGTTTGTTTTTGTTTGTTTTTGTTTTAACTGCAACAGAGGATTTTATCCATTTTTTATGGATTTAATTAACATAACTTATAAGCGTCTAAGTTTTTAATAAAATACTCGATAATTTTTAACCCTTTGCATATATTGCATGCGTAAAATAATCGCATAAATCATATATTTTCATTATACATTCTGTTCTGTCATTAAGCTGCACATTATTTATTACTTTAATATCCATTATCGGGAAAATAGTTGCTGTGGATTAATTGAAAATTTGCCTTCTCATTTCCTAGATCGCAAAGAAGATTTTGAAGGTTTGATAGCCTCCCTAAATAATTGTCAAAAATCTTTGAGCGAGTATCTAAAGAGTAAACGTTGCATTTTTTCGCGTTTTTGCTTTATAAGCGATGATGAACTACTCGGTATTCTTGGGAGCTCGGAGCCCACAGTCATTCAAGAACACATTGGCAAAATGTTCGATAATCTGAGCAAATTTCAGTTTAGTATCGATAATCACGAACGAACAGTAGCAAGTGCTTTGATATCAACCGAAAATGAGATAATGGAATTTAAAAATCCAGTTTTAGTGAAAGGCAAGATTGAAGAATGGATGGTGCGAGCACTCGATGAGATGCAAAAATCAAATCGATATATAACTAAGAAAGCTGTATTTGAGTATGGAAAAGTAAGCGTACTTTTAAAGCGATCGAATATTAAAATCTTATTTATTATTTGTTTTTTTTTTACACATATAAAATATTATTTGAAATTAATTCGTGAGATAAATCGATTAATTATATATATTAAACGAACAAAAAACCACAAATCATATAATCACCTTAGCTAACTGAGATTTTTTTAATTCAAACTCTCTTTAAAATATTAAAAATATTTATATACATTTTATTTAGCTTTAAGATTTTGATTCATTGAATGCGAATTAATCTTAATTTAATTTCATAAATATTGATATTTTAAGTGTTGTTAATTATATCGATAATTAAATAATCAGAATTTTAATATAACAAATATAACAAAATATAAATGGCTTTATAAAATTACAGTCACTCAATAGATCACGCAAAAGTTAATATGCGCTTTTAAATTTATCGATTTACTATTATTCCAAACACTTTTATAAAGCTCCGTGTTAATGTTTTATGTTGGTTGAAATAAAAAATATCTTAAAGTAATGTATTATATAGTCATAGTAAAAAGGTATTCTCGTTAATATACTTAGTTAAGAAAGCCGAGAACCGAATGGATGTTGGAATTTCAAGGAATGATAATTCTGGTATCAAATCAAATTTGGTGGACGGCAGAAGTAGAGAACGTTTTTAAAAAAATTTTAACGGGAAAAAAACGTGCTATGAAAGAAGTATAAAATATTATACAAAATTATACACGTCGATTAATTTTATTTAAATTGAATTGCTGAAATGAAAATATATTTATGCATTTTAGTATCTGCTAGAGCTAAATCAACAATTAAACGAAGTTGTTACATTAATGGGAGGAGATAAACTCTCAAACAACGATAGGAAAAAACTCGATACTGTTTTAACGATTGATGTACATACGCGCGACATTATAGAAGAATTTGTTCGAGATAATATAATGGATGACGCCGAATTTCAATGGGAAAGCCAACTGAGGTTTATATTTATTTATACAACTTTTGACCATGTGCTTGTAATACACACGCGCGCGCACACGCACACGCACATTCATGTAGAATCGATGATTAAAGTTTTTTGCAAAAAGTAATTTAATTCTTTGACGTTCTTAATTGTTATTTATTTTAGATTTTATTGGATGCATGATTTAGATAATATATGGATGAATCAATGCACTGGATCTTTTGAATATGGTTACGAATATATGGGATTAAATGGACGATTAGTCGTTACTCCTTTAACCGATCGAATTTATTTAACAATCACTCAAGCTCTATCGATGCAACTCGGTGGCGCTCCAGCCGGTAAAATCAATTAATCAAATTGTCATTGAAACCTTATTATCTCGAAAATAATTGTTAAAAAGAATTTTGTTCATTTTTTTAGACAATGTCTCAATTTAAGCCTAATCTCATAAATGTAATACGCATAAAGCCCAAACATTCAATAAATACATTATAATTAATAATTCAAACAGTTAAATTGAACAATCAAAGTAATCTTATTAGTTATTTTTCTTTATAAAGTTTACATTCAAATAAATTATTCTTAATTGTTAATAATAAAAAATGAGAAAAAAATTATAAATCAGTAGGTTTGAAAAACTATTTACAAAATTATATAAAGAAATAGAAGCGTAGCATTCAATTTTCAACATAAAACGATAGAAATGCCAATTATTTCTATAGGACCCGCCGGTACCGGAAAAACGGAAACGACAAAAGACTTGGCGAAAGCTCTGGGTCTACTTTGCGTGGTTACAAATTGTGGAGAAGGTATGGATTATGTGGCGATTGGCAAGATCCTTGCTGGTCTCGCTCAATGCGGCGCCTGGGGATGCTTCGACGAGTTCAATCGAATTGACGTGGCTGTACTTTCTGTCATATCCACCCAAATACAAACTATTAGATTTGCTTTACAGAGCAAAGCTACGCGATTTATGGTAAAACGAATACTTAAATTTTAAGTTAATTTAATGGTAATTACGTTTGAAAGCAAACGTTGTGTTTTGTATATTGTCATTTAAATTTCTTTAACAAGCCCAAGCTTCTAGATTCCCTAAAATTAATTCTCATCTGAATAAATGAGTAAAATTAATGATAAAAGATGTGCGAGTATTAGAACTTACCCAACCACAATAACTATGTCTTACTGTTATAGTTTGAAAACGATGACATCGTATTAAATTCCAAAGTTGGTATCTTCATAACAATGAATCCTGGCTACGCTGGTCGTACCGAGCTCCCTGAATCTGTGAAAGCTCTGTTTCGTCCTGTCGTTTGCATTGTCCCCGATAATGAACTTATCTGCCAGATTAAGCTTTTCAGTGCAGGATTTCTCACCGCTAAAGTTCTTGCTAAAAAAATGACTGTTCTATATAATTTGGCCAAAGAACAGCTTAGTAAACAAACCCATTACGACTTTGGTCTTAGAGCATTGAGATCAGTGCTAAATATGGCGGGACATTTGAAGCGAACATCTGGTGATTTACCAGAAAATGTTGTATTAATGCGTGCACTCCGAGACATGAATCTTCCAAAGTTTATTTACGAAGATGTGCCCCTCTTTTTGGGATTGATCAAGGACTTGTTCCCTGGACTATATTGCCCAAGAGTGGTATATCCTGATTTCAAAGACGCAATTGAAAAAGTACTCTCAGATAAGGGATACATCGCTATTCCTCAGCAGGTATAAGCACTAACATTGCTTTATATAGAACTTTTTTTTCTTTTTATTTTTCTTTTCATTTTTTATCACGAAACTGGGATAACATAATTAATCAAATAGTTTATAGGACTACATTGAGAAACAAAAACAAAAATTGTTTATTCATTAATATCACAGTTCGTTAGGATATTTAAATCTTCTTTTCAATTGGAAGATAAAGTACTTCTTGTGTATAATAATACATTTAATTATAATTTTACAGACTTATTTATGCGCTGTCTTATAAATAGAATTCTAATTACAACAACAACAACAAAAGAAAAAAAAATGAGCATTTTAAATACAATCAATATTTTTAATTTAAATTATTTAATTTAAAAACAATACATTTATATTGATAACGTTAGAATATTTACTACAATATTTTATTACAATATTTTATCCGATTCGTTTTAAAGGTAGATAAAGTGATACAGTTATACGAAGTAATGATGACACGTCACTCAACTATGATAGTTGGGCCTACCGGCGGTGGTAAAACAGTTATTATCCAAGCGCTTTGTGATGCCCAAACGTTACTCGGTATACCCACAAAGTATTACGTTTTAAATCCAAAAGCTTGCACAGTTATCGAGCTTTATGGTGAATTAAATCACGAGACAAGAGATTGGGTTGATGGTCTCTTAAGCAATATATTCCGAGAAATCAATAAGCCTTTAGATTCTGGTTTGAATGAAAGAAAATATATTTTATTCGATGGCGATGTCGATGCTCTTTGGATCGAAAATATGAATTCCGTTATGGATGACAATAAATTGCTCACGTTGGCCAATCAAGAACGAATAAAATTGCAAGACCACTGTAACCTATTATTCGAGGTAGAATCGAACATATAAATACTTATTATTATATATTTAAACACTGAACTTAAACACTAAATATACTTAAATGCATCTATTAAATGCTGAAATGAAATTTAAATTAATACAATAATCAACTTAATCAATAATAAATAATAATCAAATTAATCAATAATAGCAATTATGAGTTGATAATCAGGAAAAGTATATTTTCATAACGAATTTAAGAACGATGCTTATTTAAATTTAAATTTTTATTGTACAGTTATTTAATTAGTTATTTCGAATTTCCTTGCAAAATGACTAATATTATTAAAATTAAGGTTGGCGATTTGCAATATGCATCTCCAGCGACTGTCTCCCGAGCTGGTATGGTATACGTCGATCCGAAGAATTTAAAATTCCAACCTTACATGGATAAATGGATAAACGGTCGTTTAAAGTCAGAACAGACTCTCTTGCGCAGTCTATCCGAGAAATATGTTAATAGTTCACTTAACTTTATAATTAATGGGGTTTTTGGTCTTCAACAAGTAGATCCTTTGAAAACGGTTATTCCACAAACCGACATCAATATGGTAACAAAACATAACTAAATAAAACACTATCCCATCCTCTATCCCTAATCTAATGTCACACGATTGCCATGTTATATAATATATATTTAAAATGTCTTTTAAAATTGAGATAATTCATCATTATGCATCTAACAATTGCATTTTATGTGCAGGTAGCACAGCTTTGTATAACCTTCGATATACTCTATCCGAGATCAAAAGTCGACGAGTTTCTGCGCGTAGAAAGTGATAAATTGACGGAAGAGGAAGAGACTCTCTTCTCTGAAAAAATTCTTGAACGAGATGAATTTATGGAAGCAGTATATATTCAGTCATGTTATTTATCCTTTGGGGCAATCATTGTTACCGAGTCCCGGAACAAGTTTGACGAATTTATGAAGAAGCTTTCGGGCCTCATGATGATAGAGGACACAATCGATAAGCCTGTAACTAGCCGTTACATTCCCACAGCCTTCCCCCAGCTCTATGATTACTTATTTGACGTAAAGAAGGGCGTTTGGGTAGCTTGGAAGTGGCTATTACCGAAATACATACATGACCGAGGTAAAAGCTTTGGCGATATTTTGGTACCAACAATCGACACCATAAGAGCAACTTGGTACGTCGATTTAATGAGCCAGAATAATAAGCCACTGGTCTTAGTAGGAGAGACTGGAACTTCAAAAAGTGCTCTTATCATGAACTATCTTAAGAATTTGAATATAGAGAAGTTTGTAAGTTATCGTCTTGAAATTCATCATTTTAATCCATTCAATTATGACATATCAAATATGTCCTTCAAAATACCACTATTCAATATTAATTTTCTTTTAAAATTCATCATTTTAATCCATTCCTTTATCATAGCTTATACATACAATAAAGTCAAATGTGACTTTATTCTAAATTTATATAATATGTAAGTTAATTAATCGAAAGCTTAAATTAAAAAAAGAAACAAAATTGTTTTCTACAACGAAAATGATATTTAGATTAGTTAAAAATGAAAAATTCGTCATTCTTAATAAGTAAGAATTAATCATTTCATCGGAAAATTATAAGTTTTCGAATAGCTTCAATTGTTAACTAATATTAAAAAAAATTTTGTAAATTATAAAAATGAAAGAGGAAATACTACAAAATTCAGAAAATATTTCAATATAAAAGAATTTGTCACGTTCAATGATAATTCTAATATTTTAATTCCTGAATTATTATTATTGGTATCAATTATGATGATTATTAAGTTGCCGACGGTAGAAGTATAAGATAATTATAGTAGGGATAATTTAAAAATCCCAATATCCAACAATTGTAGGCGTAATTATAGTAATTAAGTAATTATAAGAGTCATTATAGCCGAATTTTCTATCCTCCCCGCCCTCCCGCGCCCTCCCGCCACTGGTAAACTCGCATTTTATTCGATAATTCGGTAAATTATATTCATTATATTGAAGTCACTAAATTCAAACGATAAAAATTAATAAATAAATACTCTATTGATTACCTCGTGCATAGATATATAAAATTGAAAAATAAATGATTAATTAATTTAAAATTAAATAATATGAAATAAATTTTATATAAAGAAAAAGCACATAAACAAACAATGCAAACCACGAATATTTATTTTACCATTGATAAATTAAAAAATAAATCCAATGTTCAATCTTTACAATAATATTATTTTATTGTGCTCTTTAATGGCTACACATATTTATTCATAATTTTTTGTTACAGCTCGAAAGCTAACAATGTATGAAAATGTTAAATATAACAACTAAAAAGAGACAAAATTTATTATATATTTTTCTAAATTTTGTATTTGTTCTTCTACTTACTCGTCTTAAAAATCTCATATTTAACGATGGCATTATTCCAGCTACTGATATATTAAGTGACTTTTGACACCTGGAAATTATAATGCATTTACTAATTTTCATTTGTTGTGTTTGTTTGTGCCACATAGTGCAGTAAACTGCAAATGCCAAGTCCACTCCCTAAAACAAGATGTCCATTAAAATGATATTACTTATAAGAATGTGATATGTATCAAAATGATTTTTATTGTTGTTAATGTGTTTTATAAAGTTTAAATCGATTTTGAAACGAATTACACAATTAATTAGTCAACTATCTTTAAATTAAATTTTAATACAAGTCAATGTAAGATATTACAAGTTTATCAAGTTTTATTCCTTTCTTTAACTCAACTATTGAAACATCTCTTATATTTTATGGTATAATCAATAGTTTATTAGAATATTATAATTATTAGACGACAAAATGTGTAATAAAGTGATTAAAATTACAATTTTGTAAAATATCTATATTACATAATGTATGCATATAATAGAGTTTTGATAATTAATCAATACAATTAAATTTTATTACCAATGTTGTTATACTTTCAGCACAATAAGAATAAAAATAAAGCCTCGAAATACCAACCATAAATAGTAGTAAAAATTGTACTTGCAATATTGATGAAACATGTGACTGATAACAAAAAAATAGCTTTTATATTAATGAAAAATTTTTAAATTAATTTTTAATACATACGTTTAATAGTTTCACAGCTTCGCTCACAAAAAAGCAACATAAACTAATAATTGTTTTTAAAATAATATAACGAATTACGCTATTGGTTTCTTGGATAAACCTAAATAATAATTCCAAAGATACAATGTATTCATATATGTTATACCTAATAATTACAATAATAATAGTACAGAAAATCCTAGTAAATTAGTTAGAAATTAGCTTATAAATTTATATAAGTTATAAAAAATCCATATATCAAATCAAAATTTACTGTAAAATTTTCATTAATTAACTGTGAGATCAAGAAGGAAGTAAGACCAACTAAAACATTAATTATTTTAATTTCATAAACAAGTATGATGATTATTTTTCATTTGAAATATAGTCGTAAAATAAAAATAGTGTTATAGGTTCAATTATATTTAAATTTATGTCGATATTATTGTCGATAAATTTTTAATAATTTATTCGCATAAAATTTTTCAATTTATATAATATAAAAATTCACATTAAAAATGTAGGGTAAATATTTTATTAAACAATTCAAATATTTATGATTATTTTTAAAAGCTTTTTTTTATAATATTCTATAAAAAGAGATTAATATTAAACTTAAATATGAAAATTACTTACTTATTAGATTATATTACTGTAAATTATTTAATTTATATAGTAGAAAGAGGAATTGTAATAAATTAGAAATTAGATTAACTTACCAAATAATTTCTTGATGTCTACGAACACATTTGACCAAATCAGAATACGTTTCTACGTTTTGGAACTCAATTTGAAGTAATTTAAGCTTCATTGCAGATGTAAAAAATAATAAAATAATAATTGAATCGATAAAAATATTAACCGTTACGTAATATACAGACGTTATTTGGTGTATGTAAAACAAATTCCATATTATAGACGAATTGAATGAAAAAGGATAGTATGCGTTCGTGGGAAATCGCAACGGTTTCACCGCAATTGATCTGTATACGAAAATAAATACTACTAATAGACAAATTACTCCAGTAAAGTGAAGTATGACCAAATACATTTTTGTAAATTTAGCAAATTTATGCAATAAGAAAATTCTTTTCTTCATGAATGTAAAGAATTCGTTAGAATTTTGTAGCAAAACCTAAAATTTTCATAATTCACATAAATAAGAATTTATTAAAAAGTATAAATAATATGTTAAGATATTACTTTTTTTTTTTTTTTTTTTTATCTATACTGATTCTTCGAACATATATATATATATATATATTTTTTTTTTTTTTTTAATTGAGTAATAATTACAAAGTTAACTTTGAATATTTATATCGATAATATATTAATAGATTTTATTTTAAAAACTTTAATTTACAAATTATAAGAATACGTACCCGAAAACGTAGCCTCCCTAATTTAAACAATATCATTAGGAACAATGTCTCGGAGATAATAAGCAATTGATTTATCGACGATACGAAAGATGGTAGATTAAATCTTTCTTTATAGGCAGCAGTGAATATTGGTAGTATAAGTAGCCATAAATTTATGTGGAAAAAGTACCATATACATTCGTTTACATAAATTTCCCAATTTTTCGCTTTCTCATCTAATGGCCAAATGGCAAATAATCTACCGATAAATCTTTGAATTTTTAAGTTATGCGTTAATAAATTTAGAAGTAAACTTATTTCTTTAAAATGCTTCATTGATTCAAGTTTCATTACATTTGTATACAAAAATTCTATTTTATATATTTTTGAAAGGTTATAAAGTTGCTAATTCGAAGAAAAATATTTGATTCGATGGATTTCGTGCGCTGTACTTTAGCTGAAAATTATTGTAAGAGTCAGTATATCGTTTCTTCCTATTCGCGCTAATTATCTCTCATTCACCGTAAACGTTGTATTAATAAAATAAAAATAAATTATCATTATCCTTGCCCTAATAATTATAAAATATATACAGAATGGAAATTAAAATTCATTTTACATCGTCAACATAAAAAATATAAAAATTAAGAAAAGATTCAATATTCACAATAACAATGTTAATAATAAATGAATCAATATTAAAAAAAATACATTCATTAAAATTAAAAAAATTGATACATGATTGACACGATATTATGAATTTTAAAAAAGTTTATGTAAATATCTGTAAATGAATTGTTTTTTACAATTAAATGAGAGACTGATATTCATATAATTTTTTTTTTTTTTTTTTTTATAAATGTATATAATAAGATTTTAGAAATACTATAAAAGAATGTAATAATAAATTTAATAATAATGACTTGTACTAATCAATATATAATATACATATATATATATATATATATATATATATATATATACATAATAAATTATTAACAATAATAATATAATTATTTATAACATTGTTAAACAAAATTCTCTTCAGAATTACTTGCCAATAAATTTTTCATCGAGAACGACATCATTGGATGTTCAACGAAGCATTGAATCATCCGTAGAGAAAAGAACCAAAAACATTTATGGTCCAACTACTGGGAAGCGTTTAATTATTTTCATTGACGATATAAATATGCCGATGGTCGATACGTATGGAACTCAGCAACCAATTGCACTTTTAAAATTACTACTAGAAAGAGGTGGACTGTACGATCGGGGAAAAGACTTTAGTTGGAAAAAGATTAAAGATACAAGTAGGTGATGCGATTGATAGATTTGTAATGATTTGATAATAAAAGCTAATTTTAATATTTAAATCGAAATGTCAGATACAAAAAATGTCAAGTTACTTATACTATGCTGTGAAAAAATTTTTTATTTCAAATAATTTTTATATATTCCACTGTTCACGCAAATACCATTATGTTTTAGATTTTCTTTCGGCAATGGGAAAATCCGGAGGAGGAAAACATGACGTCGACCCTCGATTTATTTCTATGTTCTGCGTTTACAGCATCATATTTCCAGCTGACGAAACTCTGCATTATATTTATAAGAGCATTTTATCTGGACATCTTGAAATTTTTCCAAAACATATACAAAATCTTTCGACTGATATAATCAACATAACGATGATTCTTTACAAGGTGCATTTATTTTCATACATTTGCGAGAAAAAGTAATATTTAACTAAACAAAAATTTATTGCTAAGAATTATGTTTGTAGATTTTTATAGATTGTTATTATCATGCACAAACATAATAATATATACTCGTTATTTATTAATCGTATTGAGATAATATAAAAATGCATAATATATTTCTGTTTATCCTTCAATAGCTTATTATTCTCAATTTGCCACCAACTCCCTCGAGGTTTCATTACATCTTCAATATGCGCGATTTATCGAGGGTGACAATTGGCTTAATACAAAGTGATCCAAATAATGTGAAAACGGAACAGCAGTTTGTGCGTCTTTGGAGAAATGAATTTAATCGAATATTTTACGATCGACTTATATCAAAATCCGTAAATTTCTTCTTCTTTGCTCGTCAATTTCTGAATAAATTATTGCTCGAATCGAGCGTCATTTTATTCCCTCGCTTGATTCTTAATATCATTATCTATAATTCAAATTAATTTTCATAGCACAATTTTTAGGACCAAGAGCTCGTGCAAAATCAGATCGACAGCAAAATAACGGAATTTTGGGAAAACGACAAGGATTTACTTAATTATTGTTTGAGAAATCCATTGCTATTTGGTGATTTTCGAAATGCTTGTAACGAAAGTCAGGCGCGAATATACGAGGATCTGCTCGATTATGAGGCTGTTTTCACTCTCTTTACCGAGGTACATCCTGTCATTTAGAAGATTTTTTTTTTTTTTTTTTCACGCGTAATATAATTTTTCATACTAGTTTTCCACACACTGCTTTAACAATCACGATTAAAAGCACTCGCTGTACGTTAGAGTCTAATCGCAGTTAACGATTAGAGCATTAAAAGGCACGAAATTATTAAAAATAGCTTTTTTTCTACTAACACTGTCTCAAAATTATACGCAGATTATCGAGGAATTCAACGAGCAAAGCAACGCGAGACTGAATTTGGTCTTATTTAACGATGCGCTCGAGCATCTCACGCGAGTACATCGAATATTACGTATGGAACGCAGTCATGCACTTGTTGTTGGTGTGGGTGGCTGCGGTCGGCGATCGATCGTGAGGTTGGCTTCATTTGCGGCAGCTTGTGAGATATTCGAGATTTTGCCAAGTCGAGGATACGATGAGCCTGCTTTTCGCGAGGACATTAAGGTACCTGACTCCGTCACTTGTACGCAGATTATATATATATATATCACATGCCAATTTACTTAAATTTTACTTTAACCGAATTTACAATTTAATTAAACCATAACGATTAATACGCTGCAATTCATTGACCTTAATTGAACAATGTTTAAATTCTTAAATTATGTTTTTTTTTTTTTTTTTTTTTTTTTTTTTTTTTCCTTTTTTTTTTTTTTTTAGAACAATTTAGTTTTAAGTTGAAATCAAATTAAGGAATGGTAATCTTGAGCGAATGCGATTAATTATAAAAAATAATTTCAAAATCATGCATATATACAATATCAATTTACTTTAATATTAATCTAATGTCAATTTTATGATATTAAGAAACTCTTAACCATCGTCGGAGTAGAAAATAAGAAAACAGTATTTTTATTCACTGACGAACAAGCGACGGATGAAAGCTTTTTAGAGATAATTAATAGTCTTTTAACAACTGGTATCGTCTCTGCATTATATACCGATGAAGAGAAGGATGGTATCGTGGGATCTTGTAGGAATGCAGCTAAAGATGCCAATTTCGGTGTAACGAAGTTAGTCATTTTTCTAAAAATAATTCTTGTTCACAACGATAAGTATTTTTCGCTTCCCCATTACTATTGCATGCAATTATATCATCAATGGACATAAGATATAAATGTCGAAATGTCTAATGCAACGTAACCAATACTATTAAAATTAGAGAGAATGTCTGGGCATACTTTATCAAAAAGAGAATGGAAAATTTACATATCGCCTTATCTATGAGCCCATCGGGTGATATATTGCGTACACGATGCAGAAATTATCCCGGCCTCGTCAATTGTACGACCATTGACTGGATATTTCCATGGCCTGAACAAGCTCTACTGGCTGTCGGCAATGTCACCCTCAGAGACGTAAGTTTATTACAAAACCCGAGACAATTTTCTTGAATCGAACAAATACTTACAGAAAAAGCTTTGACTTTAGAATACTTATATTCCCGAAGAGCATCGTAACTCTATTGTCTGCCATGCCGTATATGTTCATACGACCATGAATACCTATACGAATGATTTTCTCGTTAAATTACGGCGTCATAACTACGTAACGCCTCGTCACTTCCTTGACGGTCTAGAGTCCTATTTAAATCTACTGGCTCAACGGCATGCGTACATCAAGGCTCAGGTATAAAAAATTTATTTCTCGATATTTTTAGCGCAAGGAATAAAAATTTCAAACATGCAGCATTATAATCATAAGTAGGCATAGCCCTCGAAACGAACAATATAATTGCCTTTTAGAATAATTATTCCATCGATGTATTATCGTTGCGATAAGAAATTACTTATAAACACTTATGTAATACTATAAACTAGTGTTCTCATCTGTCTGGTGGCCTGTCAAAAATCGCTGATGCCTCGGCCAATCTTGACAAGCTCAATGCAACCCTAGCAATTCAAAAATTGAAGGTGAAACAGCAGATAAAAAATTGCGAAAATCTCCTCAAAACAATTGACGAGAGTACACAAATAGCTGTTGTTAAAAAAGCACTCAGTCAGGAAAAAAGTAAGGAGATCGAAGTGAGAAACAATATAATAGCGAAGGAGTCGGCCGAAGCGAAAGCGGCACTCGCTGAGGCCCAACCCGTGCTCGAAGAGTCAAAACGCGCCTTAGGTAATCTAGATAAATCCGACATAACCGAAATTAGGTAAATAAATCTTGCAATATGTTGCTTTGATAATGATTTCTTCTCGAAATAAAATAAAAAATTCTTGCAACTTTGTATCTACAATAATTGTCGTTATTGAATAGATCCTTCGCAACGCCACCTGAGGCAGTACAAATTGTTTGCGAGTGCGTTGCCATTATCAGGGGTGTTAAAGAGATATCGTGGAAAAGTGCTAAGGGTATGATGAGTGATCCCAATTTTTTGCGCATTCTTCAAGATATGAATTGCAACGAGATAACATGGAAGCAGCAGCAAATGGTGAAGGCTCATCTGAGAAAATCAAACAAAATGGAGCAAATGAAAACTATTAGTACCGCAGGCTATGGGCTTTATAAGTTCGTCCTTGCTGTTCTGGGTTATTGTTCTGTCTACAGTGAAGTGCGTAATTAAAATGATATATGAAATTACATGTGAAAAAAGGCATTTAATTAATTATTAATTAATAATAACAATTGCCTTAAGATACATGGAAATAAATACCTCGGACTAAATTGCAATTATTATTAAGAATTAAGTAATTTTTTAACCAAGTAATTTTTACAATAGGTTAAACCTAAAATGGATAGGGTTCGTGAATTAGAGATAGAATCTGAAAAAGCATCGAAAGCATTGAGCAAAGAGGAGCAGGAATTGGAGAGATTGGAAAAATTATTGGAAAATTTGAATATAAAATACGAGACTGCAATTATTGATAGGAAACGTATACAGGAAGAAACGGATTTATTAAAGAGACGTTTAATTGCTGCTGACAAATTAATTGGGTATATTTTCTTCCCTTGTTATTGCTTATGTGTTCCCTTCATTTTCTTCTTATCATCGCCATTAATGCTATCATTATTAATCTAATAAATGTAATAAATTTACTGTCTAACTAAATTTATTCGCACTCGAAAATTATGTTCTACCCACTGTTCACTGCGCGCCTAATTAATTTAATTAAAAATTATTTTTTATATTACTATACAAATAAAATATATTCCTAATGCATTCATGAGAATTGCTTTGAACTTTTAAATAATAATGACAGAAATTAATTGCTGAATATATTGTTATGAAAAAATTTTTTAATTTTAAAAGATATTTCAAATTTCAAATTTCAAATTTCTTATTTATTAGAGGTCTATCGTCAGAAAATGAGCGCTGGAAAAAGGATTTAGAGATTTTACATATCGAGTTGAAGAAAATCGTTGGCAACTGTCTTCTCTCTTCTGAATTTCTGGTCTACACTGGTCCATTTACATTCGATTTCCGTACAGAAATGGTTTACAATGATTGGCTTCAAAGTATTATCGATAAAAATATTCCCCTTTCACAACCATTTAAACTCGAAAATCAACTTTCCAATAATGTGGAAATTAGTAGGTACAATGATAGGAAAAATAACAAATTGATTATTTGTCATATATTTGTCGTACAGCAATTAATAAGATATGCGAATTTATAAAACAACAGTTATGCTTTTGAGAGATAGAAAGATTTAATAAACAATAAAGAGGAAATTTTTATCCCTACAGCTGGAACTCTGAGGGTATATCGCCAGATGAATTGTCAATTCAAAATGCAATTTTAACAATAAAAGCGTCAAAAGTTCCACTTTGCATAGACCCACAACAACAAGCATTCAAGTGGATTAAAAAACGCGAAGAAAAATTCAATTTAAAACTACTCACGTTTCATGATACTGATTTTATTAAACAAGTTGAAATTGCAATAAAGTATGGTTTGCCGGTAATGTTTCAGGATATAGATTATATTGATCCTATTCTTGATAATGCTATAATGAAGAACGTTCAATGTTCGTATACATAATAATTTTCAATAATTACAAAATTTTTGTTGAAATTCTTTACCATTAGATTAACTTAATATTAAGTATTGAAAATCCTTAAACTAACAACAATTTAATAAATATAAATTATTCTCAAACATTAGCGATATCTGGGCGAACTTTCATCTTGCTTGGCGATAAAGAAGTCGATTATGATCCACGATTTCGTATGTATTTAGTAACAAAGCATTCAAATCCAACATTAAATCCAGCAATTTATGCTAAAGCAATAGTGATAAATTTTATGGTGACCACGACCGTAAGTAATTTAAGAATAATGATGTACGTTTTTACTAATAATTATTCTAATTCGTTAGATATTTGTTAATAATTTTGTTGATAATAATAATTTGTTAATAATAAATTTGTTAATATTATAATTCTATTATTTTTAATTATTGTCATTTCTTTTAAGTTTTAATCATTTCAACAGATCATTTTAAAGGACTAAATAATTAGGATATTGTTGATTTGTTACCAAAAGTCTTAGCTTTTAGATCAGTTTCAAATATTTCAATATTACCTTATATCGAATTAAAATTTTTTTTTTTTTTAATATATATTGTTATGAAAGCTATAAAAAATCTCTTAAAACTTTGTTTCACCACTAAAAAAAAAGAAAAAAAAAAAAAAAAAAGAAAAAAGTTTTTGAATTTTTATTTCTAATAAATTTAAAAATAAATGTGTTCTTATGTAATTTCACAATTTCATAATGTTCTCTTTCATTGATTTATCAAATAATTACATATTAAAACAAAGTATGTCTAAAAGTCTTAAAATACCTTAAAATAAAGCGAAAACGACAGCCTAACTTTCAACAGCAATTAATTTTATGTATATATCCATATCAATGTTTTTATTTTTTTGTTTTTGTTTTTTTTTTTAAATATACAATACCAATAAGCGATAAAACACTTGAATGTATTAATTTGTATTTTTTTCAATTGAGTTTAAAGATAATTACGCTTTGAAAAGAATTTTTTTTTTTAAACAAAATTTTGATCAATTGTAATATCGATAATGAAAATTTTTTTATTTATTGATTTTATTAGTATAAATAACAAACTGAAATTTAAAAACTTCTTCTTCTTTTTTTAATCTATTGATTTAGATAAAGGAATATTGCGTGTAATAATTAAAAGAAACTGAATCAGCTTTGTATTTCAATTATACGGTAATCTTACTTTAAGGGCTTGGAAGAACAACTTTTGTCTGTAGTGGTGCGCATTGAGCGCCCGGATATAGAAGAGCAACGCGAAGCTTTAATAGCGGAAACGAGCTTACATAAAAAAAAGCTGCAGGAATTAGAAAATGATTTGCTGCGAGAGATTACAAGTAATCAGGGTAATATGCTCGACAATATCGAACTGATTGACACTTTGGAAAATACCAAAGCCATTGCGCAGGAAGTTTCGACGAAATTACAAGAAGCTGAAGTGACATCCAAAGAAATTGATAAACTACGCAATGATTATAAATTAGTGGCCAAAAGAGGGGCGATTCTATTCTTTGTTTTAGCTGATATGGCCATTGTTAACTCTATGTACCAATATTCTCTTACTAGTTATTTGGAGGTAAGTTATGTAATATTTTCATTCGAAATTTATTTGTTTAAACGTTGATAAAATTGTATTAATATTGCAACGAAAAAAAAAAAAAAAAAACCTTAACAACATGTAAAAATTAAAGTTAAAAATTATTTTAAAATATATTTTTGAAAGTATTGAATAATCTTATAACTTAATTATTTTAAGCTACATGTTTTATTTTCACAAAAATTTTAGATCTTCATACAATCACTGAAAAAAGCATTGCCCGATACATTATTAAAAAAACGACTTAGGAATATTATAAAAACCTTAACTAAGATTGTTTATGGCTACGGGTGTACGGGAATTTTTGAAAAACATAAGCTCCTATATTCTTTTCAAATATGCACGCGCATAGAGCAAGATCTGCAACACATCAATCTAGATCAATTAAATTTCTTTATCAAAGGCAACGTATCGCTGGAAAGGTCAACTAGAACTAATCCCACCGATGGCTGGTTGGCTATTACAGGTTGGGAAGATATTTTAAAATTAGCTAACGAATTTCCAGAACAATTCGGTAACTTGCCGGATGAAATTGAAGCAGAAGAAGAGCAATGGAAGCAGGTGATGTATTAAAATTCTATAAAAATGACTCATTTATGAATACAACTTAAAAGTTATATGGATTAATTTCACTTGGAATATTTTGGATCTTAATATAATTTTTTTTTTTTTTTTTTTTTTTTTTTTTTTAATAGTGGTTCGATGTCGACAATCCCGAGTCCTTGGATTTCCCATGCAACTATTCCTCAAAGCTCACAAGCTTCGAACGTCTGATGTTATTGCGCTGTTTTCGCGTTGATCGTATATATCGAGCAATTATTATTTATATTAGTAATGTGATGGGCGAGGAGTTTATAACACCTCCAAGCATTAGTATGGAAGCTATTTTCGAGCAGAGCACATCGACAATGCCGATCGTCTTTGTATTGAGTCCTGGCTCGGATCCCACAAGCGAACTAATCTTACTGGCTGAAAAACATGGATGCGGGGCTGGAAAGTTTCGAAATTTGTCATTAGGACAGGGACAAGAACAGGTGGACAAATAAAATTTTTTTTATATATTTCACAATAACAAAGTACGTTTTCTTTTCTATATTTAGCAGAATATCCCTTATATTTACATAACGGTTATTACTAGAACGAAATATTTTCATTGGCAAAAATGTGATTGTATTACTCCTAGATAGTTATTGAAAATTAAATAAAATGTATAACTAAGGCATGGCTTTTTTTTTTTTTTTTTTTTTTTTTTTTTTTAAAAAATTTTAATCAAATATACGCAAAAATTATACTAACTGCTATAATTTTCTTTTTATAGAAAATGGTATCTAATTTTTTTATACATATGATTAATCAATAAAGAATATTTTCAAATTAGAAAACATAAAATTAAACATAATGAAAGCATACATACAAATGATTCGTTAGAGAGAATAGTTTATTTCTTAGTTTATCATTTTTCTACTTAAAGCTTCAATTTACAAAATATAAAAGAAAAGAAAATGAAATTACGAGTAAAGAGTATTTATAAATCGCGTGATATTTACATTCGAAATTAATATTCAGCTAGCTATGGAATTATTAGAAAATGCAGTAACAAGAGGACAATGGCTGCTACTTCAAAATTGTCATTTGCTACTGAAATTTACACGAGAACTGGAAAAATCTTTAGAAAATATTGGAAACCCTCATTCTGATTTTAGATTGTGGTTAACCACTGATCCCAATCCAAATTTTCCAATAGGAATATTACAACAATCACTTAAAGGTATCATTATCTTTCGATATCATTAAACTTACGATATGCGCGGGTATCTTTGAATAATGTAATAAAACAAAGAGAAAGAGAATATAGGTTAAAACTTTGACGTTCTTTAACATTTGAATAATAATACAAAATTATAATTCCTAAAGTATAATATAACTATTAATAGTTTTAATATGTAAAAATTACATTAAGTTAAAGTTTGTACTTATTATTATTTTAGTTGTAACTGAGCCACCAAATGGACTAAAATTAAATTTAAAAAATACATATTTTAAGATGGCTGATGAAACTTTGGAATGCTGCGAACATACAGCCTATAAAGATCTTATTTATGTTTTAGCATTTTATCACGCAGTCGTTCAAGTAATTCTTTGATAATTATGTGCGATCGATCTTATGCAATCAATTATTTTTATATGCTTACCGTATTTAATTTTCATAGGAAAGGAGAAAATATGACAAAATTGGATGGAATATAAATTACGATTTCAATGAATCAGATTTTAATGTGTGTACTACAATACTTAATACTTATTTGTCAAAGAATTTAGTAACAGGGGTAACAAGAATCCCTTGGAATAGTTTAAAATATTTAATTGGAGAGGTAACAGTGCAATAAAATATTATACATATAATTCCTCAAAAATTAATAAATTATTAGAATGACAATAATTAAATAAAGACATGATAAAAATAATTTATTTAAAAAAAAAAAAGAAATTATTTAACAAAAAAAAAAAAAAAAAGAACAATTTAGTTTTAAATCATACTATTTTCTATATTATCCTATGCATAAATGCAATTTTCTTACTTCTTTTCATTTCGTAAGAATTTACGACAGATTTAGAAAATTCACGACTTTGGCATGTAATTTTGAAAATTCCTACATTGCTGAGCGTTATTAGACCTTCTGGATTGTAATTGAAGTAAAAATGTATCTGCAGGTAATGTACGGCGGCCGAGTAATCGACAACTACGATCGGCGCGTTAGTAGGGTTTACATGGATGAGTACTTTGGTGACTTTTTGTTCGACACCTTTCAGCCCTACCACTTTTATGAAGATGAGAATGTTGACTATGTAGTGCCAACTCCAGGCGATCATGATAATTATATGAAATTCATCGAAGAATTGCCGTTAGTGAATACACCGGAAGTTTTCGGCTTACATCCGAATGCCGATATCGGTTATTTTACTCAGGCAACGAAAGATATATGGTTGCAACTTATTCAATTGCAGCCACAGACTGGTAAATAATTATTAGTTAATTAATGTAGTGTATAAGTTTTATTAGTCTTTGTATTCTCTTAAAATCGAATAGACCTCCTCTCATTAAAAATACCTTTATTCTTTTGTGTGTCGCATTACTTTTAATATTTTTAAATTACTTAAACCTTGATCCAACTTTCATCATAGTTATAAAAAAAGATTAATTCATTCAGTATGTTCATTTTAAAATCATGATTTTTTTTAATCATATTTTTTTCTTTATACTTGCTATAATGATACACGCACCCCCCACCCCCCCATACACATATTTACACATGTGCATATGTTTTCAGTTGTTTGAGCATTTTTTAAATGTATCTTAATTAGAAAGATTTACGTATATAAAATGTAGATTTATATATAATATGATTAAATTTAATGTAAAGCAATTGGAAATTTTTTCTAATTCCAGTTGTCAGTGGTGTAAAAATAAGTAGAGATGAATTTATCGACAATGTAGCAAAAGAAATATTGACAAAAATTCCTCCAGAATATGATTTGACAAAAATTAAACGAATGTTTGGCACAGTGGTATCACCAACAGCAATTGTTCTATTCCAAGAGTTGGAGAGATTTAACAAGTTAATTAAAATGATGACAGTAACCTTACAACAGTTGAGAAAGGTATAAAGTTAATTCGAGCAAATAATATAATAAAAAATAAATATTAAATTTTATAACGGTATAATTCGGTTTTTTTTTTTTTTAAACTTTTTTATTTCATAAAGTTTAAAAGATTCGGCATATACTATATAATAGTAATGTATATCAATATATTTTTTATAGTAATTTCAAAATTTTCTTTCGACATTAAAAACTAAATACGATTCGTAATAATGAAAATGTAACGATAATTTTTGTTGAAATTATGATATATTTAAGTTAAAGCTTAGTAATTATGAATAACTATAATATACAAGAATAAGTAGCGTATCACAATAAAATCAAAATTATCGCCTAATTTGTATAAAAAAAATCTTATAAAAATGTCAATATTCCTGGAGTAAGAATATTTTTGTATTTTATATTATTTTTATATTTTAGGCAATTGTTGGAGAGATAGGAATGGACGCCATTTTGGAAAGCATATCAACTTCCCTATTTAATGGAACGTTGCCTCAGGAATGGGCAAAATTGGCGCCTGCTACTCGAAAAAATTTATCATCATGGATGGAACATTTTGAAAAACGAATCGCTCAATATTCCGAATGGGTGTGTATAAGCTCATTGAGAAATTAATAACTAAACTCTTTTAATCACTAAACTTGCCATTATAAATTGCACGACAAGTCAGTTTGTTTAACCATTTTTACTTATGTAATCCATAATATTTTAAAGATACTTATTGCAAATTAATCAAATTAAATGAAGACTTGGCTACTTTTTGTCATTTCAGGCCACAACGAATGAGCCCATTGTAATTTGGTTATCGGGATTACATTGCCCGGAAACTTATTTGGCAGCTCTTATTCAAATGGCTTGTCGTAAGAACAATTGGCCTTTAGATCATTCGGTAATGTATACGACAGTTTCCCAATATATCAAACCCGAAGAGATTGAAGAACCATTGAACGAGGTAATGTATTATCTATTGTTATTTACTTCTAATTTCAATCAATCATCAATGAGTGAGTGATATTAAATTTTTAACACTTTTATACGGTCTTCGCTTTAACTGTCTTATCATACACTTACAGGGCTGTTACGTTGAAGGATTATACTTAGAAGGGGCTCGATGGGACAAGGAAGAACAATGCCTCAAACGTTCTCATCCAAAAATTTTAATCGAAGAATTACCAATACTTATCATAATTCCAATTGAATCTCACCGACTGAAACTTCTAGTAAATACCAATATTATTTATCATATTATTAGTCATGTGGCAACAATGAAAATTATTATTCATCAAATTAATATTACACGACCATGAGCCTAAATCTATGTATACTGAAAATTAATCTATAAGAAATACGTTGTAAATTAATGTTTTATACACGTGCTCGACATTTTTCGTATAAAATATTTACTTCTTGCACTTAATTATCTCAAATAACTTACATCAAACAATAGACAACAAGTTCATATATCTAGAAATTAAAGCAAAGCTTAGAAATAACGGTAAAAGTTATTATAAACATTTATTAATATGAAAATTAAGATAAATATCTTTACATATGCTGATAAGAAAGTTTATTCCCGATATTAATCAGATGCATTTAATCAAACACTTTCGAGCAATCACAATGACACATGATTTACGTTTTCATTTGAATTGCATACTGTCATTCTAACTCGTTTTATTAATTTGTTAGAATACAATAAAAACGCCGGTTTACGTTACATCCGATCGACGAAATGCAATGGGCGTCGGCTTAGTATTCGAAGCGGATCTTGGCACATCGGAACATCCGTCCCACTGGATCCTCCAAGGTGTTTCACTTACGCTCAATACAGACTAATAGATTGCACCCTACTTTTACAATGTTTATATATACATATATATAGTCTATTTGGCATTAAATCAATAGGAAGTACATTAGCTTGTGCTAATACGAGTGCTTTTACACTTTCATTAATTACGTTTAGCGATAATGCTCATTGTATTCTATGCTCGAATCACTTATAAAATTATATATCTAGTTAATAAAAAAAAAAAAAAAAAAAAAAATTAGACATATATCTTCAGTATTCGATTATTTTATATCGATATGTATTGCAATAATAAATAATACATTAATCAACATTATATTAATTGTCTTTATTATATTATTACGTTCAACAAGCTTATGGCACACGAGGTCTTACGTGTTTAAATTTAAACAACATTAACGTGTACGATGCACTATGTATGTACTTATGTCATAACGTGAAATGCGAGAGTTACCATCTGGAACTCTTGAATAGTTGATAAAGTCAAAAGTGTAATCATAAATTTTAAATTATACAAATAATTTTAGGTATAAATTGTAATTTTTATGAAACAGCATATCTTATTTACTTACATTAAATAAAGATATTATTTCAGATATTATTTTATTTAATAATATTATGGTGAAATTAAAATTATTCATAAATTATTATTCTAAAGTACTTGATATTATAAATTAAATAAAAAAAAAAAAAAACCATCGATCACTCTGAAATTACTTATAAAATTATTCTATCCTACAATGTATAATTTAAAATAAAATTCAATTCAACGTGCACTTTTCATATTAGTTTAAGAAGTAGTGGTGTTTCAAGTAAATTTAAATATTTATGCATAAAATATAGAAAATGGAATATTTTATACAAAAATTGTATTTCATATATATCGCTTGTCGTGTATGTAAAATATACATTTTATTCTAGATAAAGAAAATCGCCGCTGTACAATAAAATTTACGATGAATTTACAGATAGATAATAAGAAAAAGGATAAATACTGGGAAAAATTTCTGTTTGAAAAGAGAATTTATATATTTGGAATATTGGAATACACAAAAAAAAAAAACCTAATTTATCATAAGATTCATTAATATTGTCTTATAAAAATTACGTTTATAATTAATTACTTTCAATATTTAAAGTGAAATCAATGGTATTTTAACTGTTAATTAAATTTTTTAAATGTTTAAAAATGTAGAAAAAAATGCCTTATATATTGTTAAATTTGAAACATTCTAATTACAAAATTTCTTATATTGATAATTACCGTTAACACAGTGCGCTGGGAAACTTGGACTTCGTTCATTATGTAATTTTCAGATAATTTAACCAGGAAAATTCGCCACTTGCACATTTTGGCAAATTAAATAGTAAAGAGAAATAAAGCTACCTAACGGCTAATTACTACGTGCAACATACAAACGCTCTTTTATAACGGACAATAATAGCGATTAAAGCGCCTCTATCGAATAATTTCGCTAATCACGACTTCTGCAATATAGAATCGTGTATCCTTGCTCCATACGTGTTTTTAGAATTTTTTTAACAATTCCTTTTTATCTAACAAAAATGTTCCTAAACATATCGTGGGAGATGATGTCCACGTGATAAAGTTAAGGGATCTTGAGAGCCGATGATACATTAAATCTCATCCAACAAAAATATCGTAGGTTATTCCAATTATAACCTCCTTGATTTGAGGTTAACTTGTGTATTTAATATTATTTGAGAGAAATTTATTATTTTACGTGCTTTTTTTATATTAAAGCGACAATGTCGTACTTATCGCGCAAGGAAATCGACGAATTAAAGCCACAGATTGAAAGGACAGTCAGCAAGTTTTTGGGCTTTACTGAGTCTTCGATAGTAACCACTGCGCTGAACTGTATTGCATCTGGTTATGATAGGCGTAAAACTGCAGGTTTGTTGTTTAAATTGTAATTAAATTTTTTCATTCGTACAACTTTATAAAATATCTCTTTACTTAATCAGTATTAAAATTTCAGTCATATTCAATTTTCACTGTACGTAAGCACACGATACAAGTAATAATTATACCTATTTATTGGTAAAATAATCTGCTAAAATTTGATGATAATTGCTTGAAATAAGGAGATTCATAGATTATATTTTACTTGATAGAAATTTTGTTATAATTATTTCATTATTTTTGTCTATTTTCACTACTATTTTATAATACTTTATTGTTTGAATATTAGAAACAAAATATAGATTAATATTTGTACAGTTATTTGGTCAAATTAATTTAGATATTATTGTATTTATTAACTGTATCATTTCAGTTGAATAAATACAACACGATTTAAAATCTAGATAAAATATTTATAAAAATTGTAATTAAATTAATGTATACGATATTTCTAAGAAAATTTATAAAATATGTATATATATGCATAAGTTACTTATATTAATAAGTTACCATAAGAATTCGTATTTATTGAACATTATTGAGAATTAACATAATACTTGAACGATATAATGCTGTTATACTGCATGGTTATAACTTTTATCTTAATTTTGAATCTGTAAATCTATTTAATTGATTAAACGGAATTATATGACAATATATAATTCTTCTTTCAATTTCATAATTTCATCATGAATTAAATTATTTCTTATTTTTTATAGATAAATTGTCAGCATTGCTTGAAGATAAAAAGGCCTCGAAAGTAGCAGAGAAAATATTTATAGTTTATGATGATATAAGGGCTTCACACAAATCAAAAAAACGATCCCATGGCGACGATAGAGATAAAGATAGGGACAGAGATTCTAAGAAGGCAAAACTTAAAGATGACGATTCTAAACATGATAAATCTAATGATTCTACACTTTCGAAAGATAAAGTAAATTACTTATATTTGTAGAAATGATTATATAAATTATAATTATATTTGGATTTCTTATCATCGTTTCTTCAAAATTTCTTCCATAGATTAGCCATATTATGGCAAATGCACAAAAGGAAATTGAGGAACGTAAAAGAGCCATGAGGGTACGACCAGAAGATATGGAAACAGTTAGACCACTTTTAAGGAATAAAGATACATTAACTACAATGGGCTCGGTTTATAATCAAGGTTTTCTTAGTAAAACCGATTCGGACAAAGCTAGAAAGATAGCTGCATTGCAAGCACAAATACAAAATAAACTCAAATCTGGACTGTTAGGAGGTGTACAAAATACAGATAAACCAAGACCTCTTATTCTTGATGAATCCGGGAGAACGGTTGACATAACTGGTAAAGAGGTTCAACTTACTCAAGTTGTTCCAACTCTAAAAGCTAATATTCGAGCTAAAAAGAGAGAAGAATTCAAGGCACAATTGCAGGATTCAAAAGGTCCTGAAGACTTTCAAGAGACACATTTCTTTGATAATCGCATAGGTAATTAATTATTCGTCTTAACTTATAAATATTTTAATATCAATGATGTATTAAACGTACATAATTCCTTCGATAAACTCAATTAGAAAAATTTTTTAGTTTTTACTGAAAATTTTAAATTTAATTATTATGAAATATAATTAAACTGTATCCATTCATCGAGTAATGAAGATTATTTATAAATGAAAATTAATTGAAAATAATAATATTAAGTATGATAGTATTGAAAATTATAAATAAAATATATGAGTAAATTGAGAATGTTGTTAAAATCATGTCTCAGCCGTATAACAAATGTTGCAGAATAATTTTCTAATTATGCTATTTATAAGCAGCTTCTATAAATCAGAAAAATAATCCTACTTTATATAATTATTCATTCAAAAGCATTAGCATTTTCATTAACTATATTGCATTGTTAATATCGTTAGGTAATACTGTGCATAATATTATGCGATTGTATAAAAATTTTAGGTGTCAAATCTGCGGTCAGAGGCAAACGAGCACTAAAGTTCCACGAGCCAGGAAAATTTATGCAAATGGCGGAAAGGATTCGTATGAAAGCACAGCTGGAAAAATTGCAAAATGAAATTAGTCAAATTGCCAGAAAAACAGGCATTAGCTCTGCAACTAAATTGGCCTTAATCGCACCAAAAACCGAAGCACTTAACGAAGATGTACCAAATATTGAGTGGTGGGATTCTGTAATTTTAAATGTGAGTGATTCTACTATTACAAATTTAGTAGAACATCCAGCACAAATGAGGCCACCGAGTAAGTAATAATTAATTAAGTAACAATTAAGTAAGTAAGTAAGTAAGCGATTGCTCTTTACAATATTAAGAATTAGTCTTTATCGATACTTGCATTGAATATCGTATGAATTCACATTTACTAAAGATTTTATTCGAACTATATATTATTTTCAGCGGAGCCATTAAAACCAGTTTACATGCCTGTATTTTTAACGCATAAAGAGAGAAAAAAATTACGCCGTCAGAATCGACGAGAAGCTTGGAAAGAAGAGCAGGAAAAAATTCGTCTAGGACTGGAGCCGCCACCAGAGCCAAAGCTACGTATTTCAAATTTAATGAGGGTTTTAGGTACGGAGGCAGTGCAGGATCCCACAAAAATTGAAGCCCATGTAAGACAACAGATGGCAAAGAGGTTGAAGGCTCACGAAGATGCCAATGCGGCAAGAAGACTCACCGCTGACCAAAGGCGTGAAAAGAAAGCGAGGAAAATTAGAGAAGACACTAGTTTAGGAGTTTGCGTCGCTGTTTTCAGGTTTGTAATTATTAAAATTAATTTTTTTTTAAATTATCTTATATTATTTTCATGTATATTTATATAGTTGTAAGGACATGTAAGATATTCATTAAGACCGTACGTGCAAATATTTAGACATAAAATAAATTTTTTATTTTATGTTTAAACAATAAGATCTGCATATAAAATAAGACAATTTTTCTATTTCATAGATTTCATAATTCTATATAATTTGCAAGCATATTGATAACATATTTATAACGTATGTTATAACCAGCATATATATATTCATAAATTTTGAAATATATTCTTTTATCATTATTGTAATGTATAATTATTTATTGTATCCTTGTAATAATCACTAATGGAAAAAAAAAAACAAAAACCAAAAACAAAAATAAAAGAGATGAGAAATACAGTTGATTTTAATATTCTTAAGTATTTATATTTATTACTAATTATTGAAAAGAAAATTATTCAAACAGATTTGAGTGACATTTGAAATTAAAATTATTTTAAGTTATTTCAAAATTTTTGTTTGAAAAATAAATTTTATAGTTAGTATATTCGATTGAATTTGATCTCGAAATGTTTTTATTAAAACAGAATACGTGACTTGATCAACAACGCCTCAAAGAAATTCAAGGTAGAGACCAATGCGAAACAGCTTTACCTCACCGGCTGTGTAATGTTGTTTCGCGATTGTAACGTTGTTATCGTTGAAGGCGGTCATAAGCAGATTGCCAAGTACAAGCGACTGATGCTGCAACGCATAAAATGGGAAGAAGATCAAGTTAAGGACATGGATGGTAACGATGTACCAAACAAGTGTGTACTTGTGTGGGAGGGCACTAGTAAACATAGACATTTCGGTGACATCAAGTTCAAGGTATGTCCGATAGAAAAGATGGCACGCGAGCATTTCAAGAAGCATCAGGTCGAGCATTATTGGGATCTTGCGTACAGCGGTGCCGTGCTGGATAACACGGACGATACGCAGGTATAAAATACAAGAAACTGACATTAGATAACTCACTAATGTTTCAAATTGTGACAGTGTGAATGTGTGTTTCATTGTGATGTATATGCTGAGAAATACTAATTTTCTCTTCTAAATATCAAATTTTCTTAGAAAGGTTTTTAAAATTTATATTATATTGCTATTCACGAACTTATAAGTTTAAAAATTTGTTGACAAAACTTACAAAACGATATATTATTCAAGATGGGGTTGTCAAGTTCTACCTATACCCCTAAACTACCTCGTACTCCGAATAATGAATAAATGCGTGTAATTTAGAAAATGCTTCAAAATATTATAAAATCAAATTCACCTACCTGTCCTTCGCGTCGATTTAGAAAATGTGTCTATAAAGTATGATTTTAAGTATGCCTTTAAAAGATATTAGACTTACAAAGAAATTGTAAGATTCTGTTGATAGTTTTAATGATTTTTTATAATTCTTTTTAATAATACTAATACATTTCGTATATTATTCTTCGTATGATAAACTGCGGACATTAATAAATTTATATTCTGTATAAATTAAAGTATTTTTATTTATTATAACTATTTATGTATTCATTATTTCGTGAAATTGTAAACTGCAACTTTTATCTTGTTTATAGCATAGATGGTAAAACAGTAAATGTACTTATCATAATGTAAAGCTATTGAAGTATTTCAGAACATTTAATTTTTTTTAGTATTCTCCTTAAATGGCATTGTTTATTATAAATTTACGTATCTATAACATTAAAGCATTAGTTTATATGGAGTAGTCTCTTTTCATCATTTTTATGTTTTATAGTTACAAAGTATTTTCAATTATTCAAAAATGAATTTTCACTTTTCAATGTAATTATCCATTTAGTATTTGATTATTATTATTCTTATATCACTGTTACATTGAAAATTTTACTTAAATATATTTGAAATTTAGTCGTATTAACAACAACATCATTTTATTATTATAATTTATGTTTCTGAACTTTAAAAATAACAGAAAATAAATACTTAAAAATATGCTTGTTTATCCGACTTAGGCTTAAAAATTATTATTATTATTATTATTATTATTATTATTATTATTATTAAAGCTTACATTTAATATTATTCTAAAAATATACCAAATCTATTAATACTACATGTCATTAAGAAATAGCAAACTTAACGTATGTTGAATCTTATAATTTATATATTTTATATATATATATATATATGTATATATATATATATATATACTTATAGAAAAAGTATTTTAAAAAATCATAAAAACGAATTTAAAATTCACTTTTTCTTTTTTTTTTTTTTTTTTTTTTTTTTTTACTAGACATTAAATAATCAACACCATTAGATACAGCATATTTTAATAATATTAATGAATAATTAATACAAAATTAATATTACTTTTACTTTTCAACAATTCTATTGAATATATTCTTTTTTCTTCAGTTATTAAATTACAAACAAATCTGTTTAAATGAATTTGAACGCAATTACTTTGTACTTATAGTTTTAATATTTATTTCTATTTTCTCTTTCAAATAATGAATAATTATTGATTTAGAGAAAAAAAAATTGTATTTTTAAACTTGGCTTTCATTTTCTTTTTCCATAGATTTAACTAATTTTTTTAATTATTTAATTTGAATTAAATATAAATTACCTATTGTATACATTTGAATATATATGTATAGTAATATATATTAATAGTAACATATATTAATGAATAAACAGTTTAGGTTTCCAAATAAATATTAAAAAAGAACATCCTTAAAGTACTAAATAAAAGTATAAATGATTTCAAAATCTATGAAGTAGATTATATAAACAAAACTTGTTGAAGCTTAAAATCATTTAACGGATACAAATTCTAACATAATAATGTAATATATATTAACAAAAACTGGTATTAAATATAAAAATTGTTTCATTTGTATTATCGTTTTGTATATTTGTTTGTCTATTTTTCCGTCTAATTGTTTAATTATTTAATTACGTAACTATTTGTTTGGGTTTAAGTTATACGCAATTATAATTAACATATATGGTATTTTGTAATTTATTTTCATAAATATCTTGAATGTTTACATTAGACTGTATATTGACCAGGCCAAAAGTAAAATCAATAAGTGTATAAAATAATTATATAAAATGACAATCAGCTATTTAATGAAATGTTAGTCAATACGAGAGAAACCAGAAATGATTTAATATTAATATATCTAATAAATAATCTAATCTAATCTTAATCTAATAAATAATCTAATAATAATCTTTAAAAAATCTTAAATAAATAAATAATAAATAATCTTATTGATAAAATACGTTTATGATCAAAATACCTACTTAAGGAATACTATAATTTATATGAAACTATAATTTAATTTGATAACAACAAATATATATATATACACTAAAAATTCTTGAAAATATAATCAATATTCAAATTTTAAAAGGTATGATTTTAGTATTATAAAATGTCATACAAAAATCTAAAACTAAACATTTTAATGCGAGTAAGTTAAGATTATCGCTCAATTTTCGTTTTTTGTCCTTACTACAAAATACTATAAATGAAATTAACAAATATTTTGCCTTTTTTAAGGAATAATACATTTTGTATTTATAAAAAATCGCCCTAAAATGATTATATAATATCGAAATTTGATTGACAATCCTTTTTTATAAGCTTTATTTGCTAAAATATTAAATAATCGTAAGTAATTCTTCAATTTACATGAAACATTTATAATTACTTGATTTTTAAAAAAGAATAGAATATATTTCAATGATGATACATGCCAATAATTGCCTATTCTTAAATCTCATATCTTTGATAAAATATAAAATTTATAGTAAGAAAATAGATGTTTTTATTCATTTATTATGTTTTGTTATTACTGTATCAATATATTTTATTTGAGACCAATTAACATTCGATAAAGATCCTGCGAAATTCGTAATATTGAATTATTTAATATAATTTATGAATTTTTATACAGTTATAAACAAATTCATTATTATGAATAAAATAAATTTTTGATATATTTACCATAGATAATAATTATATATGACTGAATAGAAATATCAGTAGATTAATCGGTACAGGTAGAACTCATGCAACCCCTAAAATTCTTGAACACATCATATATTAATAAAGAAAATATAATTATGACAAATGTAATCTTCTTACAAAATTATTATCGATGAATTCAATCAAATGAATCTATAATTCGGATTATGAATTAAAAGTCGTACGTACACTGTGAAGTGACTTCGAACCATTGATGTTTAATTTTTGCTTACGCTTATCAATCACGAAATTTGCAAAAGTAATTGGAGGCGTTATCCTGCATGTTACTACTGACTTTCTAATATGGATATTGTATACATTGACGCTCGAGGCATCACATCACGAGAATGAAAAGGCGTAGGAAAGGATGGAAAGGCAGAAGATCCCAAGGACGATTCTAGTTGAAATCTTTTTCTATTAGATTTATGTATATATCTACATATACAAACGCTACATTCACTCGATCAACCCATCAACCCACCCACCTACGTACCTACTCATTCCTCACACGCGCGCGCGCGAGCGCACACACGCGAATACGCGCACAGTGCTACAGTGATTAAAAAGCGTGCAAATTTATGTACGATCGAAATATATTCGTTAGCGTAGTAAATTGAGCCGATGACTACGATGAGACTATTACTATGATGATCGTAATAATGATAATTTACTTCGATAGAATACGTGACTTTTGAGTTTTTGTGTAGAAGGACGAATATCCTTCGACATCTATAGCTTTACGTACTGACGTTATTCCTAACGTATGCAGAAGATAAATTTTAATTCGATAATCAATGTACAAAATCAATGAACTGAAATTGTAAACAAAGATATTATGAATTATCTATACCAAACTTTGTTGATATCTTTCTTTGTCAATCTATATTATTATTAAATCAAATAATTAAATAATGTACAATATATATTAAATAATGCGTTTATCGCATGTATTGAAGTATATAGTTTTTATTTCGAAATAATAACTTTATTTTCCACTATTTAAACAATTTTGTAGTTCGTACAACAAATGATTTTCTTACCACTTAAATAAATTATCTGAATAAAAACTTCATAGCGAATACAATTGCGTTTCATTTGAAATTAGATCAAACGTTAATTGAAATAATTTTTATAAATAGAATGAATGTATTAATTTTAAGGCAAAATTTATTAAATTTGGATTAAACCATTCAAAAAATTTTTATATAAAATTTCTGCATAATATATTATTCTATATCCACATGTATAAATAGAACTTTGAAAGCTAAACTTTGAATAATGTTCTTAAATTCAATAAATTTCATAATCCTAAATATTTAATTTCCAAATTGGCTTATATACATATATATATATATATATATATATATATATATGTGTGTGTGTGTGTGTGTGTGTGTGTGTGTGTGTGTGTGTGTGTGTTTGTATAAGCACTCTTCACCTTTATAACTTGACAATTAAGCATTTTAATACAACAATACGCAGAGATATTGCATAAAATATGTAACATTTGTATCATCTTTTCTTCTATAATTTAGTAATAATAATATTAAATTGAATATGATAATCAAAATTAACATTTGAAAATTAAATTTATGTTATTTAGTGTTTAGGAACAATTATTGTAAATTAAGAGTTAAAATTGGGAATTGAAACTAAATTTAAACTATATAAATTTTCAATCATTTCAAAGTTTCATGACTATTCATTTATCTTAATTGATAATCCATTATAAAATCTAAATTTCATTCACTAAGCCGAAAAAAAAGACGTAATAATAGGATCAAAAAGTCGGAATGATGAAATTGATCGTTTAAAGTTAAAACGTTATGTTAATACTTTCAGCTCATAAAGATGAATTAAAATTGATTTTACATAAATTTCTAACAATTTGCCTTTAATATTGCAAAGATTGTAGTAAATTTAAATTTCTATTTAAATTTCTCCCCATTCAATCAATATCAATATTAAAATTCCTTTAATAAGATAGTCCAGAAATAATAAGTCCAATTGTTTCCTGTGGAAACAAAGGGGAATATCGAGTAGTCAAATATGTATTTTCATATATTTTAAAATTGCTGGTGTACAGCCGATATTTCAGAGCCTCGATATACCTCTAATAACAAAATGTTATTTGTTGCTGTAAATGTGAGGTTCGTTGTACCTATCACAAACCATATTGCCAGATAAGACAATGCATGTTTTAACGAGTCAGTTTTTATCTATAATTTTTAATTTTTCGCGAAGATAACAAAGCGCATACGCGCACTTCTTGTCAATAGTGCGTATCCTTGCGTACCCTTGCGTACATCGCGAATATTTCGCATTCATGAACAACGAGAACGTCCAGGCGTGTAGCAATCCTCGGAGAAATGCATGCAGAAATTTCTTCCTCCAAGCGGATGATGTTCGTGTGATTATCGGTGCAATGGTGAAGGTGCAAAAGTACAGCTTGACGAGTCGCTATCGACGACTAGGATAGATTGCCGTCCTGAAGCAGCCTTGATCTCGATCGGCATTCTAGTCGATCTAAGCGAACGCGTGGGCGTTCATCATCGATGTGTAACCACAATGTTGGCATTAGATTCCTAGCTCCGTATTGCCCATCCCTCCCATTTCCCTATCGTATGTACTGTGGTAGAAAAATTTCCTGAACAAAGCGCAACGATTACAATTAATTAATTTAAGATTACTGGGAAGCGTGTTTTTTCTTCGTTATTATTATTATTATAAAAATCAGTCTCAGGTCGATTGAAATAGTATTGTGGGAAAAGAATGGATAGCTATTCGATGAAATTTGCTTGATTATTCATAGATTGAAAGGAAGCTAAAATATTGAAATAACGTCGACATATTCTTTAAAATTTAATGAGACGTTTTGTTTGAATCATAATTAAAAGATTTTAGAAAACAAATAATCCGCATATAAAAAGATATTTTTAAATTAGCAACAAACAGCTTGACAATTAGCATTAATACGTATTCGATGATATAAATTTTTTATTACAATTCCCATGTATGAGATGATTTAAACAAAAAAAAATATATATATATATATATATATATATATATATATACATGTAAAACAATCTAAATAAACTAACTAATTTTTATTTCTATTCTTTATATAATTTTAATTAATTTGCAAGATCAATTTAAAAAATCATGAATACTTATGAAAATATTTAAAAACATGCAGTCTTGGTTTATATATTTAAAGTACATAGCATTTTCAACAAAAATATTAACTGCACGAGACTTTTTTTATAACATTTTATTTATTTATTTTTTTCTTAATAATTAAAATGTGTAATTTTTCTTAATAAAAAATACAATATGGAGTACTATAATATTAATTTGGCAAGCTACATATTATTCCTATCAATTTTTAATGTAAAAGTACAACAAGCAGTTTTAGAAAAGTATGATAAATTATAAATAACATAAAAAAATCGAAAGGTAATATTAGTATTCAATGACTTAGACGGTCTTTGATATTCTAAAAAAAGAAAAATATAAAGTATATTTAAAAAAAATACATTACAAAATGCACAATACTTTACAAATTTTATCCAATCATGTACCATTAATTTTTTTTAATCAACTGAAACAACTTGTTTTTTTTATCCATAACACGATCATCGTTTATTAACATGAGGTACAAATATTTCAAAAGATAATGAAATTTTATGAATAAAAATAAATTACATTAAAATTGTTCATTCGTAATAAGGTTGGCGTATTAATTCGCACGATATTTATATATTTAATATATTCTGCATCATTGCAACGCATAACGAAGAGAAAAATTCAATTATTTAAAAAATATTATTGAATCATAAAATCGTGATAATGAAATATTACATAGAAAATTTTTACATTAATTTATTCTGCGAATGGAAGAGAGCGGCGAGATTTATATATTTAATATAAGCAATAGTTGAATTAGAATTAAAAGTTACACGCTTAATAAATACGATATAGTATTATTACAACTGAATATTTATAAATACTATTATTGTATTTTATAAAAGTATCTGAATAATTAATTATCAAATATTGAATTTTAATTTCAAATTTTCTTTCATATATGGAACTTACAAAAGCCATACGAATGTGCTAAACAGTATTTTTTTTAATGAAATAAGGTTATTATTTTAATTTACAAATTATGAGAATCAAGTTGATTATATTTTATAAATTTATGATGCTTTTTTTCACGAAAATGTTAACATGAATCCAATAATATTTTCTTAATTAGAAATCGAATAGTATAGCCCAAGCGCACCGATTCGATTTTATTAAAAATATGGGAAATTCAGACACATAAATAATTAGGTTTGACAAATTCTAAAGTATAAACAAAAATATTATATATTTAAATAATCACTTGGTCGAAATTTCATATTAGAATTATTTCGCATTTATCTTATATTATTTAATATTTAATAGTTATGCGGCTAATAAGCATATTTAAATGATACTTGGAAATTTTACGATATAAGAAGTTGAATATAATTATTGAATTATTGTGTACACTTGGATCATTTTTATATGTAGATAAGTATCGATTGTACAATGAATTTATTAATTCCATTTGCAAAGCCGATAAAATAAATTAATAAATAAATAACATTTTTATGAAAGTGAATTAGCGATAAAACACTTTGTAACATGTAGCGGAGTATTTTATCAATATATTATTCTCCGTAATCTAGTATTGGTATGTGCGCAATAAAGCTGTAATATATACAATGTCAACCTTGTATTGGATACTGATTATGAGAATAAAAGAGACATCGATTATAACGGGTTCTATTAAAATTTTTTTTTCTATACGGTCGGATTATATGTTATTGTATATTTTTATACGTGAAAATTAGTTTTTATAAAGAATATTCGATAATAGGAGATATTCGTAAAACGAAAAAAAGTAAATTAATTATAGTAATGCAAATACTTGTTAAATTTCAATGAAAGCCATACTTCTTAGTTATGTTGTATTCATAATTATCCGCACACAAAAAATGTATAAAAATAAGCATACAAATGTCAAATTGAGAACACATTGGCTAAACTTTTACAAAGTAAACTTTTTACAAGGAATATTAATAAAGAATAACGTATATGCGTAAATATATTATCTTAATTAATCGAACATTATATTATTAAAAATTTTTTAAAAATACCACAATAAAATATATATTATTGACTAATTAAATAAACAAATATGACAAAAATAATCTGCAAAATCTTCCAAATATTTCTTTTACATTTCTATAAAAATATACAAGTTTGATTTTGGATTATATAACAGATTATATAGAAATAGTCAATTTAACCAATTATTAAAAGACTAATAGAATATTTTTTAAGTAACAATTTCACATCTGTTTTAACGAAACTATATTTAAATTATATAAATTGGTGTTGCCTACTTTTCATAAAGTTCGTATCTTTTGTAAACGTTATTTCGTGTTTTTGCATCTCGAATGACGGATCTAAAACTTATATAAATTATACAAATTGTACAGTTTACATTGATATGAAATAAAACTTTAGCAATACTAATATTTGGGAAAGTTTTACGATCGCCATCGTGTTGTTGAATCTTCAATGTGAAAAATTCGAATTCAAGTATAGACAAGAATTATATGTCTAATTATAGTATTCACATACGTCTCCCATATGGAAATATGGCGATCATAAAATTTTAAATTACACCATTAATTTATAAGTACTAGGAGAGAATATATTGAAGTACCACTTTATAATACTTATAATTGCTCGTTTGAACTTCTATTAAATGCCTGTGCGTCGAAAATATCTCTTTGCACGAAAGTTCGATAAATCTTCTTTTAACAATATGGATCTATTTGCAATACCCGACGCTTCTTCCGCGTGAAAATAATCCCGCATTGTATCCGAGAAAAAAGTGTGGCGAGGAAGCAAATAAAAGCGGAGGGTGACGTCCGTTCACCTAGACTCCAAGACCCGCTCCTATCCCCACTCCAGGTAGAAGAGAAGGCCCCGCTCGGCTTTCCTACACGTCGGTGCATCGGACCCCCGGAGCACGATGTCCCTCAGTCGAACTCCGCGCGGCGTTCAAGAGAGAGAGAGAGAGAGAGAAAGAGAGAGAGGGAGAGAGAGATACATTGCGAAAAGTTATCGCACGCGTTTCCGATTCTTTTATCGGAAGCCTTAACGTCTGCCCCCTTTTTCTATAGCGCCTGAAAATTCTATTCCATTGCATTGTGCCCGTGTTTTATTCTTAAGAACAAAACGTTTAAAGCTAGTTTTATGGTTAAGATTTGCTTAAATGAAGCTGAATCTCAAGTCGAGTAAAGTTTGATGTGAATTCATGTGAAGTGGTACATATTACAGTTTTAAATTCGAAATCCTATTGTGCTGGATTACCCTTGTAAACTAATTTTATTTAACGTTCAAGTGCTTTACTTCATATTACTTTCACCAAACTAGGTTATTTGTTACTTCTCCATTGGATTTTAAGTGCATACAATATAGTATCATATAAGGAATGTTCAACATGCACTAAATATCTGTATTGAATGTTAATTGATTAATTAAAAAAGTATCATTTGATTTTAGTAATATTGGTTTGATACCCATTGATTCAGGATTTGCTACAAGATATGGATATTAAAAATTTTCTATTTAGTATTGTACTTTCATAAGTAATTATCTGACAAATAATACACTTTGCGGCAATAACAAGTGTATTGCAATCAGAACGTCATGATAAATAAAAATTAACTTTAGACTAAATAAAGTCAAATAATTATCTATAACGATTATAAAATCATTATCGTGTTTAATCGAAATTTGAATATTAATATTAAAAATATTTGAAAATCTATAATGTAATCAAATAATATTTATAAAATTTTGAAATAAAATTTTAAATCATAAATCTTCCCAGTCCAATTGTAATGAAGTAAAAATAAATTTACAAGCACAAAATTCCATCACTTTTCGAAAATTCACAATATTTCAACCAAAAAATTAATTTACATTGCTTGTCGCATTAGTATTATATATTTAATTAGGGTTGTATTTATATGTATAACAATTTTGTATTATTATAAAGACTTATTATAATTGTCTTAAACAAACAAAAACAACATTTAATTTTTTGATTATCTAACATAGTATATAATCTTTTCACCAGATTTATTCGATGCAAGAATATCAAAGTGCAGAATACAAATAGAAAAACAGAAAATAAAAAGTTTCGATGTACATGCTTTTCATCTAAAGTAAAATGTCGATAATTTTCATCATCCTCGAGTGAGTATATTTAATATTATACAGATTAATTAATTGAAATAAAAGATCTTTAAATAATAAACTACTCGATGTGGAATACTCCTTTGGCTAAAAATAATTATTCGCCAAATGATATTGTCATATAACGAAACGAAATGAAGAAATTAAATGAATTAACGAATGCGATTTAAATAGTAAAGAAATATCTGATAAATTAATCATTCCGATGTATTGTCGTTGAAGATATATTAGAAATATTAATTTTTCTATAAATAATAGTCTCTTTCAAAAATCCGATAGTAAATGCAGTCCTTAACATTCTATTCAATTAATTACAATTAGTGAAATCATTTCTTTTAACGTTTCAAATTTTCTGTACGTTATAATAGATAATGTTAGTTGTAAAATTAATTAAATAGAAAAAGTATAATAACATTACGACGACACCATACCGTATTTAATTTTTATATACATTTATGATTAAATAAATTACAATATTAAGTATTGATTTATACATCTGAATTTAAAAGTACGTGATATTAAGAGTATAGGAAGCTTTATTTAAATAAAATTTAAAAATACAAAATAATAATAGACTAAATTTAAAAGAAATAGAAATTCCTTTAATTACATCCGTATCAACATTCTCATAATTAACTTCTATCTGGAAATGACTTATTTAACACAATCATTAATACATTTTTTTTTATAAATTCTACACATATCTGAATGTAGCTGTAAAATGCTATTTTCTCCTTATAATGATCATCTTTTACATTATAAATTCTATTGAAATTTCATCGCATTATATGTATAAATAAATTGTTTTCTTTGTCATTACTTGATATTCTGGCTTTTGTATATTTTATTAATTTGAGCTTACCGTACCGATTTATCGATCTAACAAAATATTGAACGAAGCGTAAGGAACGTGAATTTTTTAAAAATTATTTTGAAACATTCTGAATAAGTTTTTTATTTTACAATAAAATTATAAGTAATTAAATAAAATTATACGTAATATTTTAATAATAACTTTACATATGAAAAAAAAAACTTTTTTTAATTGTATTTTATTTTTTTTCTGAAATTATCAATATAAATATTAGCGATTAATTAAAATAGCACTAAAGAAAAATTAAAGAGCGTTAAAATTCTTAACTGTAGTAGTGAGTAAACGAATCGATTAAACTATTTTTATTTAATTCACCTTACGTTTGTTCTCAATATTAATTTGTCTTTTTGCAATCCGCAAAGAAGGAGGAAGAAAGTCGATACAATGACATTCCTATATAATCCACTACTATTTCATGAATAATAACAATCACAGGTTAAACAACACGATGAACGATCAACCTAACAATCTAAATCAGCCTCGTAGCAGCGGATGTGATTGCAAATAACGATATCCCGAGGCTCGCGATTTATCAGCTTCTACGATCTCTCTAGTTAGGATCCCATGAAAGGCACAATTTGCGCTATAATTTATGTAAACACTAGAGAAAAATATAAAAACAAATTATAATTTCACGTGAAATATTCGTCTCTGTCCATCTCTATACGTACTTATATTTAGGAGATTTTTAGTTCCATGTGTCATGAAAAATGAAGGTAGTTTATGAAATTATACAATTGATCGTGATGTATTAAAACAATAAATTATGATTTATTTAATATCTTACATAAATCTAATAACGTTGCATATTATATTATCTTTAACTTATTTTTGTTCTATACATATCACTCGTAAAGAACTGTGTATTTGAAAACTAATGTAATTTGTATATTATTATTAAAAATAATCTACACAATGCTGTTTATAGTATAAATGTATGCGTTTAAGAATTTCCTAACTAATTTCTTCAATAAATTATGAAAACTAATTATTTAAATATTAATATTAACTGGCCGCTAAATTTTAGTTTAAAATATTAAAAATATTTAATGTAAGTGGCCTTAATACTTAATTAAGTTATAAAATGCATTTTAACCAACAATAATTCATAAAAATTTTGTTTAAAAAAGTTAAATATATTTATTATATCACAATCTTATATACACGTGTATTAGTTATACATTAATGAACTATTATTTCTTCCACTTACAATTGCATTATTAAATATTAAATTCTGAATATTATCATATAGTCTATGTAATACAAATTGTTTATTATTTTTTTAATAATATGTTTGATTATATATTTTTACTATTAAATCAATCACTTATTACATCGCAAATTCAGTAATTATTTATTAGATTCTGCCTCAATAGTTACTATATGAATAAAATTCATCCAAATTCAATAAGAAGTAATACAGATGAATACTACAGTTCAATAAATTCTTAAATAAATTTTTAATCTATTAAAATATGACATATGAATGTAAAACATTTTAAGATTTCGATAAAATATATTTGCAACTACTATCGTATCCAACGTATAAATCGATTTACAACAAATAGTAATTTTTCTCTAAATCAGTAATCATTTACAATGGATTTTAATACATTATGTATCATAAAAATGACAAAGAACGCTGTCATATTGATTAAAAATATTGATTATATATAAATTGAAGAAATAATTAATAGTAAGAGGAAGCAAAACTGTATTATTTTAGTATATTATAAATTATTAAATTACTAATTAAGATCATTAAGGATATTATTATTATTTATAACTAAAATCATCTCATTTAAAAGATGCATGGAATTTATACCGCAAAATTGACAATAATAATTGAACTCAAATATTATTATTACTATAATATACATTTGAAAAATAATTAGAAATTTTACTCTTTTCTTATGAACATAGAATATATAATAGGCTTTAGTATAATATATTATAGATTCAGGAAATCATGGTATCTACTTTGCAATAAGTTATTATAAATGTTAAAATACATTTATTGAAAAATATAACCAATGTGCCAAACAAATAAATGAAATCAGGATAAATATAATTTTTTAAAAAACGATAATATTAAAAAAAAAAAAAGAAAGCAAGAAAAAAGGAGAAGGTTAAGTAACATCGAAGTAGTATTGCTCGGCAACCTTTATAAATTTAATTTATTTAAATTAAGATTACCTAAAGCAGAAGTCTTTTCATTTTTAAAATTCAAACTTTACTATTACCAAGTTAATAATGATAATAAGTAACATAACCATAAAAATACAACACGTAATAAAAATAAAGAAAAGATAGTAAGTATAAAACCTTTAAAACCACTGAACATGATTGGCCTCCATACCCTGAAGTCACGATCGACACTCCCACGACGAAATTTCGCTGCCGCTGAAGCAACCAGTCGCAACTAATGCCTTATGGGTCCTTTCGCCCACGCATGTAGCATTGGCTTCAAGGATTCTGTCGCATATCAGCGCACATACATACGATCTGTCTCTCGGTTCACAGTCTCTTCCTCATTTCGATCTCTTTCTCTTTTTCATGACTTCTTACGTAATACAGTCAAGCGATCACGCGTTTAGCCATTCCCCTTTATCGTTTATCGCAGTCTTTCACTCTTTCACATCTCTCGTTCATATTGATAAATCGTGTATTCAATTGAAATCCCATAGCGATACGAGGCACACACTCGTTTATTTATTTAGACGAATTTGTTGAAAATTTAATAAGAATAATATAAAATATTCGACCTCGTTTTAAAATTTTTATAAAAAAAAAGAACTTATAATTATTTAAATAATCGTCTCAAGTATTTTTATTACAACTGGTTATGTCGTTAACAATTTTCTTAATTTTACATTTGTAAATTCGTTGTTTGTTCGTGTAAAATAATTCATATGAATGATAAAAATATACCTATTTCGTCAGACTAGAAATACGAAATTTGTATCCGCGTGGCACGGATATATATATTTAAAGTTATTTAAATAATAGGAATATTCTTATAAATTACAATAAATTTGTATACAATCAACACTTTTATCTATACGACATTTATGCATAACTTTATGAACCATTTAATCCTCTCTTACATAATCCAGTGGATCATATTAACAAGTTCTTATATTTACTAATTTCTTCGTGCATAATAGCTTTTTACAAATATATTACATAAGATTAATAGATACTTTTATAACCAAATAGTAGACGAATTAAGTATAATTATTGGTTTATAACTTTGTGGATCCACGAAATTGTTGCAAAGATTACTTTATTTACCAAATACCCTGAAATATATTAATAACAATTTTCTTAAAAGTGTTTAAAAAATAAACTATTAATCCTAACTATATATAACATCTGTTAAAAATATATTTTAGCTTCACGATAAATTCGCAGTTAATATGTTACGTAATATAATTGAACATTTTTATGTTAAAACTTTCAAGAATTATTTACATACATTAAATTAATTCGTGTTACATGCTATTAATGTAACAAAACACTAATCTATATATCAATGAAAAGAGAGAAATAATCGACAATTTCTTTTAATTTTTGTTTTAATTAGAAACTTATCGAATACACATTTAATTATGATTACTTCGATTCATCAGCAAAGTCTAATAAAAAAATTAAAATACTTTTCTACTACAATTATTGATAAGTTATGCGTAAATAAATTACAATTCAAGCATTCTACACATATCAGTTGTAATGAATATGAAAATTAAACATTTTTAAACGTGATTAGAGTGAAATTATTAAACAATTTCATTAAATGTAAAAATATTTCTGAAAAATTAAATATATAAAATATATTGAGCTGGTAGTTTCAGTATTTATGACGTTTCATTAATTATGAAAAAATAATAAATTAAAAAAATACGAAAAAATATTTAATTTATTATAAATTTGATTTGAATATTAATAACTTTAATGTTATTGACTTACATATTTAAACATGAAATCTGACTTGCTTACATATGTCTGTGTATATAAATTTAGAAGTTTTTATGTATGTAAAAAAATATAGGATGTAGTGGATTAATGTAATTATTTCAATAATTGAATAAAAAAACAAATGTCTTAGTTATGATTTAAAATCTGG